CACCCCTTCACCTCTAAGGGGCTTTGATTAGACACCCCAAACGGGGGTCCCTGGTGTGGACAATCATAATCATCCCAACAAACCGTGGAACCACAAAGTGGACCGGAACTATAGACCTTGGGAGTCCAGTCGACTATGAAAAGAATGGTCTGACGAACGGGGACCTGATGATTTCGGGAACTTCCTGAAACCTTCAGCCGGTCAAAATATCGTCGAACTGGACTTCTAGGGAGTATGATTTTGGGACTATACCAGCACCTACGGACGGAGCAAGTATGCTACGAACGGGGCTCCTGGCCGTATCCGAACCGAACGGAGCGATCGGACGCCTTAGGACGTCGGGGCTCCTGGCCGTATCCGAGCGATTGAAAGCTACAAACGTAACAAAGGCAGATGGAGAAGACCTCCCAGCAGAGGTTGAAGAACCCTATAGACTCTCCCTTTCAGCGGCTCACCGGTGACCAGACAGATTCGGAACAGCCGGTTTCCAGGTCAAACCTGCCGTGGTTATGGAGAGGTCGAGGTGCTTTAATCCAAATCTTACGATCCTCCGAGATCTGATGTTGGTGTCACAAAGCAATTCTGCCTTTGGGATGGTTGTATGGATGAAAAGAGGTGAAAAGGCCAACATGTTGCGTTGGAAGATCTAGGTATGAGGACCTCGATGGTGTCTTTTCATGGGCCCCACCGGGACACTCCTGGGGATGGTCACTGGATGGGCGAGAGAGAAAATGGCACCGGAAACTCCACACTGAGTGCCACTGAGTGCGGGAGAACCCTCCCTGAAACGGAAGTGGACAACGACCTCCTCCAATATTCCTTTACAAACAGGAGATGGTCCACTTCCATTCTTTTTCAGGGAGGGTAATGAGGGTATATCACCGATGGTACTATAGTACTATGTGTTATCATTGGTGCTTTGCGCTTCTTCGTTGATGTTCCACTCGCAAGTCGCACGGGTGTCTTTTTCACCCAGAGCTGTTGACCAACACTGTCAAAGGGCGGGTCAGCTGGAGAAAGCCGGGCGCTGGGTCACCCAGGCACTCCCTGAAGCTTACTCATGGTGGAAGTGGATGGCATGGAAAGGATGACCATGAAATCCTCTACACTGAAGCAAACATGGAAGTAGACAACCCTGTGCTTGCAAAGGAAAATAGAACTCCAGCAGGCCTGTCGTCCACTTCAATGATAGGAGGGACATTACGTACTGCAAGCTGCTGTTGCCATCCAAACCATGACGAACACCCCTTTTTAGTGTTAGGCCTCCTGAACGGACGGAGAAGCTTTTACTTCGGCACAACTGCGCAAGCGTTCGGAAAACGATGGCCGCAAACATGCGCGCGGCACCTTTTTTCTATGTATTACATGTATAGGTCACTGCCAAGTGGCCAATTGATAGACTGGGCTGGAGCCAATGTTGTTGCAACATTCGCCCATGCTGCCGCTGCGCCGCTGCGCGCGCCGCGTAAGTGCAAAAAGCTATGACCTGCCACAGCCTGGGATGATCTGCACCTGTGGCTAGAGCCAAAAAGCCTGCTGGAAAGCCGTGGCACATTCTCGAGATTTCCCGAGTCTTGTGGAGGTAGACTTAGCTTGAAGATTTTATATATTCATGAGAGTCGAGTGGTTGTTTGTTGACCCAGCAAAAAAAATATCCGATGATATGCAAAGCATCTGTACCGGTGGTTCGTGTTCTGTATTCAAAACTTTGTGCCTGCCGCGGATTCAACATGCTTTGTGCCTGCCGCGGATTCAACATGCTTTATAATAGTTAATTCTAAGGTAGATAGACAGTACTGAACTGGTCATATCATTTAGCCAGCTTGACTTCCCGAAACACGAACAAGGAAGCAACCTTAAACATGAATCCATAGGAACATTGGAAGGGAGTGTACGTGTCTTTCAAGAAACATAGGCATGAAACAACAGATCGCAAAAGTATTGAGACCCGCGTGTGCAAGGGAGTAGATCTTTCAAAATCGTTTCTGCTTTGGTGTTTTCAACCAACTTGAAAAATATGAGTCAGAGGGTCCAATCATCCCCAAGTAAGGGTTGAAAATAAACATATCCGAAACCATCACCTAGGTTTGTTTAGGAGCGCCACCCTGGTGTTGCCCTACCATGGTGGCAAGGTGGTGCTTCCATCCTGGTGGACCTCATGTGCTGTGGATGGAAAACGGCCCGGCTGTTCGGATGACCATGTTCAATCCGAAGACCGAAACAGGTGGCGCCATCCATGAAATACCATGATGAAGTGTACATTCTGACGAACACATCACATGGAAGATTTTCTTGGCTTTCATCCTTCAATCTCAATTGGCAACCCCGAGTTCTGCTGCAGGATGGCACTGTTAAGCCGTGAAGTAAGCTGTTAACGAGATCTTTTGAAGATTTGATTCTTCCTCCGTTGGCTCTCTTTAAAGAGTATACAGTATACGAGACAACCCAGATCTCCGAATGGTCGCCCCGAGGAAGCCTGTCTGTCTAGCGATGATGGCGCTGAGGAGCTGTTGGAACCTCTCCCTACATCAGGAAACCGTGTGAATGTCCTGGTCCCCCTTTCTATCTGAACACTAGACTATACACCGGATTCAGAGATTGGAAGATTTTGTCCAGAAAAGGTGTGTGTGTGTGTCTTTCAATCCTCTTTTCTTTTGCGGCCTTCAGTTCTTCGATGTCTTCAAGGCAGGAAACATCCTCTCCTCTTCTCCTCCGCCCGTCCGGTCTCCGAAGCCCCTCTCTCAGGTCTCCCCGACCCATCTCGAAGCTGCGGAGGGGTCCGTCACCCATGAGGCCGCCGTGCAGCTCGTAGGAGCTGCGGTGGCCAGCTCGGCTCGAACGAGCGGGAACTGGCGCGTTGGTGCGCGCACCGGTTAGCGGGGTGCCCGGCACCGGCGACACGAGGAGTACCTGGCGAGACCTGAGACCTGGTGACCAGCACCCCCAACAGGTCACCACCTGCGACGTGACAAAGTCGAAGCCTCCAGACAGGAGACCTGTTGGAAGGTGCTGGTAAGGATCTGACACGATTAAAACCAGGTGAACCTTTCGTTCTATGATCTGGTTCTCGCCAGGGCACACCACCCCATGGCACCCCATGGGGCATACCCCGCTGGGTTCAATAATGGCTAGGGTGGGACGGGACGTCTTTGGTAAAACACGTCTCTCTCTCTCTCTCTCTCTGCCGGCGATCTGTCAGGTGGGTATCATTCGACGGTTGGGGGGATCCATCGATGGTCCTGATGTGTGCGATTGGTCAGTATTTATTGAGTACCCTCCTTCTAACAATCCCAGACACTCCATGGGACTGCCATAAGACTGCTGATCAGTTGGGGTGGTGCCAGGGGGGTCAATGGGGGGCGCAGTCCTATATGGCAGTCCCAGACACGTCGTGTCTAAGAATCATGGTTCCGTGGAACACAGCCTGTTGGTCGAGGAAATCAGTCCTCCAGGGGGCCATGTTCCACGTAACCATCGGTTATTGGATGGTGATTATTTGCAAGTAGCTAGTAGGGGCTGCTGGCATCGCTACTAGGAGCAAGGACGCTACGTTCGGGGCTCCTGGCCTCGCCAATTGTATACACTGTTGGCCATGGATGACGTTGGACGCTGGGTTGGCCAGCTCGCGAAGCATCCACAGCAATAAGGACAGGCGTTTTCGTGCTTGGGGCAAACCTTCTTGAAGAGCCCACACCAATTGGTAGTGCCCACTGCAGCATGGCATGTCCGGAATCTGCAACGGGATTCGTGTCTGCGCGCAGACTCCCCTGCCAAATGACAGGGTCTTTTAAAAATGGCCTGCATGGGGGAGAATGGGAGTGCCTGACACAGTATGACACATCTTTCATCTCATCGCGAGCATCAGGGTACTCATCCTCGGTCACTTGGACGGAGAGCGGTACCAGAGTTCTCTGGACATTTTAGAGACCCTCGATAAGAAAGATGGTTGACCCTAGTTTGTAATGTACCTTCCAACAGGTCTCCGAACTGAAGGCTTCTGTAGACTTGAAAGTCGCGACGGTGACCTGTGAAGTCGGGTGTTCAGGACACTCTTAGTTTCCACACTGCAAAACTATGGGCAGTACTATGGTTTCCTTGGGTTGTCCCCTGCATCTGGTGTCCCTTTTGAAGCCAATGACAAGAGAAGCCCGCCCGCCTTCCAGTAAGGTATCGTCCTGTCAGTCCATCTTCCGAGACCTCCACCAGCCTCCCATGCCTCGCCGTGGCAGCTCCGGTGACCGGAATGCCCGCGTTTGTCTCCCCACGCTCGGTCTGGTGGTTGGTCGCGACGAGTCTGGGACTGCCAGGGGTGGTACTGGGGGTCAATTGATCGGCATATATGCCAGTCCTATGGAGTGTCTGGGACTGCCAGTCTGGGACTGCCGAGAAACGGCCGGTGGTTGACTGGGGGTCTGTCTGGGGCGGCATAGATTCCAGTCCCATGGAGTGTATGGGTAAGGGTTTGGGGGAGAGTCATAAGACGTCGCGTGTCGACGGGTTTGGGTGATTTGGCGGGAAGACATATGCGGCCAGGTCGGGCTCCCGTAGGGTGGGGTGAGGGTCAAGGGGCGTAACCCTAGGCTTCCTGGCCCACCATTAATTTAATAGGCTGAATCCCGAATCAACTAAGGATTTTACAGTACAAAAACCAGGTCAACCAATCTTTTAATGGTCTTGGAAGTCTAAGGTAAGTTGTAGGGCCCTCCATCTCGGGACCAAGCAAGTGCACAGCCCAATGTGATGGCAAGAACACGTGTCGAGAAATCGTAGAACTGATGTGTCACCCCCCCGATTTCTGTGTCACTGGAAATAAGCTTGCAAAGTCGATCACTCTGGTTCCAGTCGTCCGGACATGTCAGTGGAGATTGAGGTGCAACCTGCAGGTGCAACCTGCCGACGCGCCAACAGCCGTGCGCAGCCGTCCGCGTGAACTCGCCGAAACCCGAACGGCCGTGTCTTCCACGCGTTCGCCGTGGCCGAACGGCGGTCGTAGCTGTCACGCAGATCGAACCACTGAAGACGACACGGTTGGGGTGTTGACACAGAGTGAATAAGTAACCAACCAACGATACCAATGTTTTAGTCTTGCCAGCTGACAAGACAAAGGGTTTGAACATCAAGATGTTTGCCTTGTTGGGATGACATTGGGGTTGATGGGGGTCGCTCAAAGATTTTACTATAAAGCTGTAACATGCTGTTAACATGCTGTAACATGACGATGATCTGTCCACCTTCCCTCACCCAGGAGCCAAGTGAACGCCAGCCCAACGCAGAACACGCTGAACATCGCTGAACTATACGCGTTACGCGTGTTCCACGCGTGTTCCACGCGTTACGCCTCATGCGGCACCATCCCTCCATGAAGGGTTTCAGGTCCACCTGCAGTTGCCGGGTCTCCCGGGCAGTGGACCCCGCTGGAGGTCGAACGCCACACGCGGATCGACCACGGAAAGGGGAAGTGCGAAGGTCGGGGAGACCCCGGGAGTCTACCTGGGGCAGACCCGGTGCCTAGAGGTTTGTCGACCATCGCTTGAAAGAGAACCAAAGAACCAGGGTCCCAACAAACCACAAAAAACCTGGCTTTCCCTAGCAACAAACATGGTTTTTGTATGTGAAAACCTTTGTTTTTCATGGTTTGTGGGGCCCCTGGAAGACTGAATTGAAAGGTTGAACTGGTGGTGGTGGATGCGTTTGTCCGTCCAGCCGAAACGTCGAACATCTGGGTCGCGCGCAAACCGGTCTCGGTCTGCAGACGATGCGTTATGGCGGTATGGGGCTTTCTCAAAGTGGTCAAAACAGCAGACTGTGCTCCCAGACTTTCAGGAAAGATGTGCAGACTTGTGTGATGTTTTCGCAGAAAAGGGCCCAACATCTGCACAGCGGATGGCGTGGAGGTCTCGGATGTCGAGGTCTCCGTATGAGCAGCTCAAGGAGCTCAAGGAGCTCATGTTACGCAGGACCAGCGAGGAGCCTTTGAGATCCTCAACGGCCCTTTGGATTCTTTGGCCTCCTACGGCCCTTGGACAGACAAGATGAAGTCGCACCAGGTTGGCGATTTCACGGCCAAAGCTGTTCCTGGACACCTCTGGCGGGGCCATCAAGACTAAATCGGGTGGTGTTCCTACCAAAACGTCCTTGGAGATTGGACCAACACGTCTGGTTGGTGCTGTTTCACCATGCTTTCACAAACGAAAAATGTAAGTCATTGGGTTCAATCATCCCAAGTACATTAGATTGAACATTAATATGAAAGTATCACCCAGAAGTTGTTGGAGGCCCTCCTCATGCACCCCGCACACCTCCTCTGTCGCTGTCTCCGGCGCTGTCGCTGTCTGCGCTGCACTCGAAGGTACCGAACCTGGGAGAAGCCGGGTTGAGGGCAGGGAAGCCTCTTTCCATCCAGGGAATGTAAGGGAATTGCACCAGTATTTAATTCAAGTGATTTGATCTCTTTGAGTATAGTAAAAATGTGCCGAAACCTTCAAATAAGTTAGTTGTACCCTGTACAAATATTACATTTGATGTCTTATCCAATTGACAACTTCCTCCTGCAAATGCGCCAGCTGCTCGGAACCTACTAACTACAGTACTCACAACAGTGGACCCTGGGTCAGTTCAGTTGAAGAGTCCAGTGCAAAAGACCTCAAAAAAACATCACGATCAAAACAGTGCAAAAGACCTGCGCCACATCAGATGCGTGAGGCTGTCTCTACCAAGTCGAAATGCTTGGAGGTTAAAATTGCAATGAAAAACTGTTCGACTGTTAATAAAACTGTTCGACTGCGGTTAAAGTTGGTTTTTAAAGGTTTGGAGATGAAAAGGTCTTCCCCGCCCTTTTACCCTTGCTCTTCCAAAGACATTGATGGTCTGTCGTTTCCTCCGGCATGGAGCGAGCGTGAGCGAACTCGCACACGTCGACGGCCTCGAAACCACGTGCCGCTGGGAGTTTTGAGTGCCGCTGGGTGAATAGATCTGCAGCTCTTTCAGCTCAAAGTCGCATGCAAATGTTTCGGCCACTTCGACAAACAAATGACTCAGATCAAAAGATGTTTCTGCGAACTCCTCGATTTCTGTTGTGGCATTCAAATCTGCGTGAACAAGTGCTTGTGCCCCACTCAACAATGGTTTTCCTGCATGTACATTAACTAGGGACCACACATGTCAAAAAACTCCCCAATTAAATGGTTCTGCGACTCCCATGGCCAGTGGGCATGAAAAACGGGTTTCCCCGACAGGCTGGTGGCGGTGGAGCATCCAGCAGTAAGCGCACCTGCAGCTCCCAAAATCTTGATCACGGACATGGCACGGGAAAGTCACCGAATTCTAAAAGACCTAGCCCAAACACTCCATGGGACTGCCATAGGACTGCCGATCAGTTGGGGTGGTTGACTGGGGGTCAATGTAAGCATATATGGCATACATGGAGTGTCTGGGTAGTGAAGACCCAAGAACAGTGAATACGTGGTGAAACCCTGTACCAGCACCCGAGTCAACAGGTGCTTCCTTGTGACAACTTGATAACAGAGAAACCATCAGAAACCACCTGTTAGGGTCTCCAAACAGCTTGTTGGAGGATCCTTGCATTATATGATATGACCGCTGCTATAGTGAGGCTTCTTCTAAGGTTCCCAATTTGTGTTCCACGACCGGACACCTTCCGCGCTTCCCGAGGTCGCCTTCCTGGTTTTAAGAAAGACTATACGTTGTCATTGATTGTGGCATCATGGTTGTTCATGATTAGTAGGAATTTGACATATTTTGATACGACCTGTATAAAGCATGTTTTCCCGGTGACCCGGTTTTTTGGCTGTAGACGGCATTGTTTTGCCAAAGGTTAGCCGGCTACCATCGCCTCGTGTCATCCTTAAACACTCGCGGTGACCAAATCATTTCTCATATCAAAGTAGTCTTCCTGCGCAGGGTGACCGTACTACCATCAAACTTGGATCCACTACCCTGAATCAGCGAAATGGATGGTAGAACAAACAAACCAACGAACCAACTGACCAACCACCCAAAACCAGCTCTTTTTTTAGAAAATCACACCAAAACCCGAGGCGGACCCAGTCCGCGGAAAGACAATACCCTAGGGATCCAGTCGTACGTCCTCAGAAGGTACGACTGGACCCTCCAACCTTCTGACAAGGTACGACTGGATCCCTAGGGATACGTGCCTCAGAACCTCTCTTCGATCGTCCACCCTCGTCGTCGGACGGACCGTGTGACGTCGGTCCTCGGGTTCAAACGACTCGGCGCGGCGTCCAAGTTTGAGGGGCTCAGAGGATGCAAGAGGCACCTCTGTTGAAGCGAGTTTGGTTGGGGGACTTTCCAAAAGGCCACAAAGAACATGCCACTTATATGCACGAGTGGAACTTCCAAAACAGAAATTTCAATGTCCTTCCCTTGGTTGGCACCGAGACCCCCCCCAAGAAGAAACACCACCGGAAGACTACCGGAAGTGACCACCGGTTCAATGCCCAGCTCTGCCGGGGCACCCCATCGGCCGTACCAATGAGATCCACCAAGGCATACAGCGGCCTCGAGAAGAAATGTCCAGAGCATCGTCCAGGAAAACGAACGGAATGGTGTTTCGAAAGAAACAAGACAACAACAACAACAACAACAACAACAACAACAACAACAACAACAACACCACACACAGACAGACACGTCCCCAAATCTACCAGTTGCTTTGAGACTCTCTGGAGCGCAGTTGGGATTTCGGGCTGCACGAGAGTGCACCGTTCATCAGTGGGAGTTGCTGAGCCGTCGGAAGCCGGGGCAACATCGCCAGGGCCCCAACTAGATCCTCAGGTTCGGTTAAACCCCCCTCACACCCACCCCAGCCATCGAAACGGAGAGGGCGGCCAGGAGCCCTAAAGAACCGGGTCAAAACCATCCGTGCAGCTTCCAGGACCGCTGGAATGGGTGGTTCATGCACATGCCTTCACCTCTTCAAGGGACTATGAATGGACACCCTTCAAAGACATGCGTGCAGCGGGGTCGTCCACCGCCGACCGGACCGATCCAAGGAACAGCCGTGTGGCCCCATGTCATCAGCTCTGTGCTTTCCAGGTAACAATTGTTGTGACAAACATCCGCCAACACAGAACTCTCTCTGAGAAATACAAGCCTTCGAAGCCACGTGGTGAACATCTACAGCTTGTCCAAACACCGCCCGACTGGAGGAAAGTCATACCATGGAGCCCTTCAAGTTGAGGATCAAGACCGTCAACCACGGTTACAGGGGGATGTGTCTAAACCTGGAACCCGACCAGTCCACCATGTAGCGAAAGTGTATTTTGATGTAGGTCAATTGGTCTGTCTCCTGCCCTAGGGCTCCAAGTAATTACCCTCTTAGACGATCTTAGAAGGTGTTTGGAGAAGGTTTGGAGGGTCCAGTCATACTGAGGAGGTACTTGGAGCTCTAGGGCTGGCAGGCGGACCACACGGGGGGCCCATCTGTCTCTTCCCTTCCCCTCTCACGGGCGTCGAAAACACCAGCCATGACCACCGACCGTGGATGGGACCGCTTTCGATTTCGAGCGTCGTCACGGGGCGGGACGGGGAGCATGGAGCTTCGTTGAATGTAGACTCTTAATTGATAATCCCCCCATTTAGCGGGTTAAAGCCGCTTTATATATGGATGGGTTAATCAAGAGTCTACATTACGTCTCATCTTCCACGGGGTGGCGGCGTGCCTGACATGAATCAGTGGTTGCTTTCCTCGTAAGGAAAGAAAGGGATGTATATATATCCAGGTACGGCGGAGGTACCTGATCGGAATCCGTCACCCTATGTTGCCCTCCTTCCCGACAAGGAAACCAAAAGTCAAACGATTGGAAGTTCGGCTTCGCCCTTCGATTTCGCTTCGCTCTGAGTTTTCGAGCTTGGCACAAGGAATTCTACTGTGACCATCTGCCACGAAGCGATGGTTCCTCAGTGCTGGACTTTGATAGTGCGTGCGTCGGGTCTCCAAGATCACAGGTGACAACTTGAGAGAACCTCCCATGTGTCTTTTCACATATCGTTTTCATCTCAATTTGATGTCAATCTCCAAGGCCGCTGAACATGCTAGTCAAACATCAATCCCATGTCTGCCGAACTTGGAGGGGCCCAGGGTGCCCCTTTCACATCCACAGTTGGAAGATGGACTTGGATTGGTGGTGATGTGTTTCCTCGATTTCAAGCAAGCCAGCCGGACTGGGTACCAAGTGCTGGCATATATATATATATACCTTGTTGGAAAAAACATGGACCACGACCCCGGGAGTCCAAGACCTATATGATTGACCTGTTGTTGTGTTTTCAGCCCCAATAGAACAGTTTGTTCTTCGGGACTCGGACAACGGTAGCCCAATGGTGGGCCAGGAAGATCTAGCACAACAATTCAATATCCCGAGTAGTTGGTTGGTGAAGAGGCCACCAAAAGGGTTGTGTTTGGATGAAGAAATACATCTTCAGGAGCATCTATAAACCACCCTTTGTTGGTTTTTTGTTAAAGGTTTTGTGTGTTGAGTCCTTCTCACAAAACAGCTTGGAAATTTCCGGAAATTTCAAAACAGTTCGTAGCAAGGAAGTTTCCAGAAATTTCGATATAAAACCAATCCTGACCAAGAAATGAGAGTTTCCGATGTTTCAGGTTGACCTTTTGATGTCAATAACAATTTTCACTCTGATAGCTTTGGTATATGTCAACAAGCGCATAAAATCACTCTCTATCTTTTATGGTGTTATAAGCACTGTTGTATAAATGCCTTGCACATTTGATGTTTGCTGTGTCATTAACCACAAACCGACACACACAACAGGAGATTTGGAGAGAGAGAGAGAGAGGAATCAATTTTCTTCATTGTAAGATATTCTCGCATTTTCCTTGCATGTGCTGTAAATATCTTTTGGTAGATGGGATATTGGCTATAGCAAATGCGCTGCGAGAACCTGAGATTTAGGTTTTAAATTTGTTTGTCAGTTTGGGATTGGACTGAGCAGTATTGTTGGGAACTTGCCAGTGGTTGTGGACCATTTGACTTCTCGCATTGACCGTTGAACTTCTCGTGTTGCATTAAACTCTCGTATTACATTAAAAAACTGATAGGTTCCCTTTGGGATTGCAACGGAAACATTGGAACAGGTTGTGTTTTGAGATGCCACTCTGAGTCACCTCGAGGTTGGCGGCCGCCAAGGCCACTAAGGAGCCAGCGACAGAAGAACACTAAGGCCCACGCACTGTTCAGGAACAAAGATGAGGTTCAGCGACAGCCACTTGAAAAGATTAGGACATTCAGGTTCCAAGCGTTGACTTCACCTCCACGGTTCCCTTCCACCAGTTCCCTTCCCGCAGTTCCCTTCCTCCGTTCCCTTCCCACCCTTACCCCACTGCCCTTCCGGCAGTTCCCTGCCCCCAGTTCTCTGACCACACTCTTTGCAGTTAGATTTAGCTAGCTAAATCTACTTGCAAAAGGTTTGCAGTTAGGTTGAGGCTAATGTTTTTAGGCTAGGTGTCTTTGCTTTCAGGCTGGAGGCAATAAGGTTGGAGGCCATTGCTGTTATGTTGGCAATTGCTAGCAGGCCATTGGTATTAGGTTGGACACCATTGCTGTAAGGTTGATCGCTCTTAGGTTGGAGGCCATTGCTTTTAGTTTTGCTCTTTGGTTGGAGGCCATGGCTCGTTTGGCCGCCTTCTTGTCCATCTGGCGAACTTCGAGTGCTCTCTGCCAAGCACGCTTCAGCCGTCAAAACTGCTGTCGAGATTTTCTTAACCCCTTTACGGGCAACTTGGTAGTTTCATATCTCCTGGGAGCTTTGGACCTTAACAGTTCTTTGCAAGCCATTGAAAGGACCAGGATGCCAATGATCTGGCAGGGTTCCTGGTGCCACGTGGGGTTGTGTGATCCTCCTATTGGTTTAAAGCCGCAGCCTAACTTCCAGGCCTGTCATGGTGTCCTACCTAAGAGCCACGGCCGAATAGCCTAATAGCAATGGCCTAGTCAATGGCACCCAACCTAATAGCTGGCCTCCAACCTATCAGAAAGTTAGCTCTTTTCTCCATCTTTTTGGGCTGGGTGTGCCCGATCTAAGGCCCACCAGCATCAACAGCGGCAGGAAGGGAAGTGGGAAGGGAAGTGTGGGAATGGAACTGGAGGAAGGGAACTGGAGGAAAGGAACTGGGAACTGGAGGAACGGAACTGTGGGAAGGGAGTTGGAGGAAGGGAACTGGAGGAAGGGAACCGTGCGAAGGGAGGTGGAGGATGGGAAGAAGGGAACTGCCCTCGAAAACAATGTTGGCAAGTTTTATGCAATGCTGGGTGTGTTTAGCATTTTTTTGCAACATATTAGCAACATTTGGAAATTGCGTTTACATTTGTTTTGTTTGTTGTCCTTGCACATTTTTGAACTTACTTGATTAGTCAAATGTACCAGCAGCAAACATGTTTGTTTTACATGTTTTGCTTGATATTATTGTGAAAATGTTCAGGTTCTAATTTTCACGCATACAAAACTCAATGTTTTCTTGTTGAGAAACAGGAAACGATGAATCATCGCAAACTCTTACAAAAATTGAGTTAACGCAGTTATAACATGTCATAGCAGAATTGCTAACAATGCTAACTAACATAACATGCTAAAAAGAAACGGGCAATGTAAGTACGACCACCACCACCACCACGACTACTACTTCTCCTACTCCTACTCCTCCTCCTACCCCGACTCCAACTCCTACTCCTACTCCTACTCCTCCTACTGCTGCTGCTGCTCCTCCTACTACTACTACTACTACTGCCACTGCTACTGCTACTGCCACTTCTACTGCTACTGTTCCTTTCCTACTAGCGGCGGCGTGCGCGGGCGAAGCGCGGGCGAGGGAGCGAGGAAGGCGACGTGTGCGAGGGAGAAAGGCTGAGTAGGTTTAGGTTCTCCCTCAAGGTCATCAACCATAACACCCACATCCCAAGAGAAGGAAACAAGACTTCAGACTTTGGATTGACTGCTCTTGTTGTTTATGATTTTGGTTACAAGTGTCCATACACGCAGTTCACGTTTCCAGGACCTTGGGGGGTATCAGGTCTTATTTTATCTTACATGTGAGCTACGGCCACGGTCAAGACATGCGAAGACCACTTCAGTGAAGCGGGGTAGGTTTGCGAACAAACCCCTGCAAAATGATAAGGTCCACCTCAAGACCGTCTTTAATTGAAGAATGATAATTAAGCTTCTACTGTCCCTCATATGCGACATAGGTTGGAGGCCATTGCTCTTCGGTTGGAGGCCACTGCGCAAACTCTACCTAAGAAATTGCAAAAACATGGCTACATGTGCAAGTGCAGAAACATGGCTACATAACACACACACACATGTGACCATGTGAAACTTTTTGCAACTGCGCATACATGTTGATTTCAATTTCTTTGACATGCATGAACAGTTTTGCATTGAAGAAACATGTTTTGCAGCTATGATTAATCAACATGTTTTCAATCTACAGTAATTTAAATTGCTATGACAATGCGCTAACAATGCTAACTCTAACAGTGCTAGCCTGCCAACAATGCGAACACGTTAGCATTGTTATCACTGTGAGCTAACAGAATGCTAGCTGTACATGTTAGCATTGTTATACCATTGAAACAACCATGTTACAACCATGCTAGCGCACTGTTAAAACTCTTTGCTACCTAACATGACATGTCATTAAAACGCGGGCAATGTAAGTGGGTAGTGGTGGTGGTAGTATAGTAGTAATAGCCGCAGTCGCTTCAGACAGGTCGCGGGGCTTTTGTTTACGCAGGTGGGCGCTCTTCCCGCGACCTCCACGACTGCGATGGGGCTCCTTCGGCTTTGCCCTTCCCATTGGCTGTCTTTTTCTTTTCTCTTCTTGTTCCTCTTTTCCAATCTCTTTCCTGCTCCTTTCTCTCCCTTCGTTCTTTATCTTCTCTTCTTTCTTTTGTTCTTGATCTTCTCTCATCTCTTCTCTCGTCTTTTTCATCTTTTGTTGTTGGGAGCTCTTGCAGGTGGATTTGGAGGCTTGGCACCGCTGGAAGGAAGGATGTCCTGATTGGACTGAGCTCTTGTGCGAGTGGAGTGAATTGCATCTTCTGAGCTTGGCTTTCGTGCTGAGCTTTGGATGTCGAAGTTCTCCAGCAATGAGTTGGCCCCAGGACAACCCAAGTGTATTCCACACAGGCGCGACCTCTCTCCCGCAAGTTCCCCCACTCCCGGCAAATGGAGTGACTCACCTGTGAGCTCCAACTAGGAACGCAAAGGAGGGCAGGTGCCCCCGTAGTCCTCCAAAAACTGTGGATTTTGAGGGCTAATCCGTGGGGCCGTTTTTGGTGGAATTAGCGAGGCCTCCGCCAAGCCAAGCCTCCAAATCCACCAGCAAAAAGCTCGTCCCTGTAGTCCTCCACAAAACTGTGGAATTTAAGGCCGCATCCGTGGGGCCTCGACCAAGCCAAGCCTCCAAATCCACAAGGAAAGAGCTCGTCCCTCTAGCCCTCCAAAAGACTGTAGAATTTAAGGCCAAATCCGTCGGACTGTTATTGGTGGAATTTAGCGGGCCGGGCCTCCACCAAGCCAAGCCAGCAAAGAGCTCGTCTCTGTAGTCCTCCAAACAACTGTTGATTTTAAGGCCCAATCCGTGGGAATGTTATTGGTGGAATTTAGCAAGTCGAGCCTCCACCAGGCAAAGCCTCGAATTTGAATGTAATACGGGAAGTTGAAAGGTCCACAACCACTGGCAAGTTGTAAAAAAAACCTGTTCAGTCCAATCCCAAACTGGCAGAAACAACGTTGCCATTTTTCATGCACACCTAATAAACCTCAGTTTCTCGCAGCGTAATTGCTATCGCGCAGTGTGGCCACCTACCAAAAGATCTTCACAAACATGCAGAAAACATTTTACGATGAAGGAAATTGTCTTTCTTTCTTTATTTATTTCTTTTCTTTTCGTTTTCTTTTCTTTTCTTTCTTTCTCTTTCTCTCTCTCTCTCTCTATTTCTCGTGTGTGTGTGTCAAGCCCTGTTTCGAAGGGTTTCTGCATGCAGGGGGACAGAGCTCTCTGATGCCACTCTGTCCAACGAAGCTACGCATCAGAGAGGGAAGCATCCACTGGCCATGGATGTGTACCTGCGAGAACTTTTTACAAGCTGTCCAATCCGCACGGTTTGATTCATGGTGGTTCCACGATACTTCCCCCAAACCTTTCGTCCTCCAGACTTTTTCAGCAGCCGCGCGTTTTTTTTGCAGCATGTCATTGTGAGCAAACCATTTGTTGAAACACCTTCAACTCACCGGACTTTTCACCGTGCCGTTCTATCACCATTTTCCTGGAAATTGAGTTAACTGAAAACCAATGTCGAAGTGTGAGCCGCTCAGCCGTCCCACATCAGTGCTGGGTGTGATCCTCCGCAAGGAGGCGCTGTTTACATACTGGAAATTGAGCCACTGAATTACCTCTCTTTCACTGACTCTCTTTCATCTCGATCTTTATCTACCCTGAATTCACTGCTCATACAGCCGTCGGGCTATAAAACGAATTTGCCAGCCGCCGGGCTTAAAAACGGTTTTTGTCCTCCCTCCCCCCCCTTCCTCCCCCCCCCCCTTGAGGCAGGTCTCCCGAACCCCCCCCACCGCGTTCTACTCCCTACCTAATTAGGGTAACATAGGGAAATGGTACTCGACACACTTGTGCGTCGGTGCCTTTCCCTCTGTTGTCCCTTTTCTAGTCTACTCTACCCGGGCGGTTTAAGACTAAAGTCCCGCTCCCTAACTAGTGCACCTAATTCACTTCGTCTAAGTATTCAGTAATTCTAGAGTGCTAGGTATTCAAAAACACACATGGACATACACCCCCTCCCTGCCCCCGCTTTCCTTCTTGCGTTTTTCGTCGTTTGTTGGGCTTTCTTTCAGGCTTTTTAGGTGGTTCTTGAGGTTCGTTTCCCTACCCCAGTCAAGGGCTAAGTATTCACCTTTTCATTTTTCTACACCTATCTTTCTCTCTTGCCCTCTTAGCGCTTCTCTTTCTGTCTTTCTTTCTTTCGTTTCTAAGGCTTTTTAGGTATCTATTCAGGTTTCTCACACGAGCGCCGCCAAGCGGCACCGTGTGTGTGTGTGTGTGTGTCAAGCCCTGTTTCGAAGGGTTTCTGCATGCAGGGGGACAGAGCTCTCTGATGCCACTCTGTCCAACGAAGCTACGCATCAGAGAGGGAAGCATCCACTGGCCATGGATGTGTACCTGCGAGAACTTTTTACAAGCTGTCCAATCCGCACGGTTTGATTCATGGTGGTTCCACGATACTTCCCCCAAACCTTTCGTCCTCCAGACTTTTTCAGCAGCCGCGCGTTTTTTTTGCAGCATGTGATTGTGAGCAAACCATTTGTTGAAACACCTTCAACTCATCGGACTTTTCACCGTGCCGTTCTATCACCATTTTCCTGGAAATTGAGTTAACTGAAAACCAATGTCGAAGTGTCAGTCTGTGTGTTCCTGACATGACAAGCATCAAATGTTCAAGGCATTTTCACAACAGCGCATACAACACCATAAGCTGGAGATATTTTATTCCTTTTTAATGGTCACTTTGTTGAAACTTCTGGAAACTTCCTGGTCAGGATTGGTTTCATATTGAAACTTCTGGAAACGTCCTTCCTACGAGCTGGTTTCATTTGGGAATCTCCTGAAGTTTCCACTCTGTTTTCTGAGCGTTTGGTTGGTGTTTGTGGTTTGACTTAAAGATGGTTGATGACTTGAACCAATATGAGTGAGTGGGCTCGATCGTCCCAAGTAACCGGTGAACATACTTCCGAAACCACCACCTACTTGAACCACTCGTCGACATCTTTTGCACATAAATCAAGCACCGCCAAACACGTCACACGCTGCAGCCAATGAGTCGAAAAAACAATACAAGGATTCGTCAGGAGCACTCGTTACACGAATGGAAGGTCATCCCGAAGAAAACCCGAGCAGATACCGGGAGACCACCAGTCGAACCTCTGCTCATACCAGCCGCATGTCCACGATCTGTCCTTTCTGAAGCCGTCATTGCGCAAGTTCCTCGTCAACTACTGGTTGGATGACCAGATTGCCTTCCCTTCTAAATTCGGTTTGGCTGCTTTCCGTCCAATCTCATCTTTCAAACCCCAAAACAAACCTATTGCCAGGCACCCCACCTGCGTCAAGCGCCCACATCCAGCCGAGTGACACAAAGATCTTCATTTGCCCTGCCTGGCACATGCACGCGGCAGATCTGATGGAGAGGATCTCATACAAGACTCACTCTCCTTAAAGAAACCGAAAAAGTAGAAAACGATACACTCAGTATTATACGGTAATCTTCCAAGTGGTGCTGGGGATCATCCCGATGTTGAGACATTGCGTCAGAGTACATCAGATGCAAATACGACTGCCCACGTCATGTCGGTATGGTACCCCTCGCACACAGCAGCGGCGCCTGCAGCGGCACCTGCAGACAACAAAAAAATCTGCCGGGCAACACCCTGCAGCCACAATCTGCAGGGCACTCTGCTGAGCGGTGTGAGCACCCGAATTCAAAGCGCACAGAGAGACATGTCGCAGCAGCACCCTCGAGCGACACCCTGCAGTGGCACCAACCTCCAAAGCGCACCGAACCAGCGCCCAAGCTCCCAAGCGCATACGGTCACGCATCCCAAGCGCACACACCCGGCAGCGGCACCAACACCCAAGCTCCCAAGCGCACACCAGCGACACCCTGCAGCGGCACCAGCGCCCAAGCTCCCAAGCGCACACGGCAGCGGCCCTGCAATGGCGCCAGCGCCCAAGCGCACACAGCAGCGGCACCCTGCAGCGGCACCAGCGCCCAAGCTCCCAAGCGCACATGGCAGCGGCCCTGCAGCGTCAGCAGCACCCAAGCTCCCAAGCGCACACAGCAGCGACACCCTGCAGCGGTAAGGTGCGACTTGGGTTGAACTGATGTGACTTGACCCTACCGCTAGCAGCATGAAATATCATGATGATGGTGGTTTGTAAGGAAATCTATCTCACCGTCCCAGCCTTTGCAAAGCACCCCTTCCTACAACAGGATCAGGCATTGACTGTTACGACTGTAACGATTGTCAATGGAAAGAAAGACGGAAGTGCGCAATGACATGAAGACACAGGACCTGACAAAGTGGCTATCAGACGAGCTTCATTCGGATGATGCACGAATTTACATGCGCTTGGGCCTCCTTCCCGTATCCACGGAACCTCTCCTCGTCCGGCAGGGCCGCCGCCGGGACCAGCATCGTCACCACGGTCCCAAAGAAAACATTTTGCCCTGAAACTTCCGGCGAGCTTTATGCTTTGGTATACCAACAGCATTCGCGGTGTCCAGCTCCTTCAGAGATGGACTCCTGGGAAGCGCGGGTCTAGGTATTTTTCCCCGAACAGGTTTGCCATGGTTTACCTGTGGGGGGTTCTTACTCCTTTGGCAGAGGCGCTCAAAATCTCCAAGTGATCCGCCGACAAGACCGTCAAACAACTCTTGGCTGTCTGGCGTTGTATAGTCTCGAGATCCTCCACCATCACGAGCGCCAGGCAACAAGAAGGCAGGAGATTTCGATCAAAGGATCAAAGATAGCCACCTTGACGTCACACGTTTTGAGATCAACTGCAACACGCTCCACGGGAACATCTGCGTGTCAGACAACTCCGGAAGGCTCTTGGCCACGTGGACTTTTAGATCCTGCGCGCACCAACTGTAGGCGGAGACTTCCCACGATATGACGTTTGAAGCCATCTGAAGCAAACTCCCAGGATTGGACTTGGTGTTTAACTGGGCACTGCCACACGATTGGAAAGAGTTGAAAAGCGAGAGCAGGGGGCCTGAGCCTCTAAAAGGTAGACATTGTGAATCCATATTGCCACTTTCACCTTGCGGGTGAATGACACATCCTTGGTCTTGTACGCTCTCCCCCATGTCCCTAGAACGGCTCAAGAAACCACTTAGGAGCTCCGTGGGATGTCGAACTACCCCAAGGACCGAACAACATGCCTGCAGAGAAGGGAGTCCTATATCGAACAGCTCCCACACCATCCTCCAAATAACGCCTCCCCAATCGATATTTTAAAAGAGTTCTTTAACGTTTATAAGTATATACATATATATATATATTTATATATTTATTTATGTAATTTTGCCTTGCATCTATCATATCAGTATCATTATGCTTCACATAAGACAATACATCTTACATGATTGTAACTGTCTTTTATGTCAGTATGGTTCCTTCCAATATATATATATATTATATATCTTCATCACCTACCAGGTGAGGGTTGTTAGATTTTGTCAGAGATATCCCGGTCCTCCTCCACGTCCTTCTCAACCGCGAGTGCTAGGTCGCAGTGGTCACCACGGGCGCTGAACAGCGGCGCGAGCACTAGATCGTAGTGAGCCAGATAGAAAGAATGTCTGTAATAATGCCAAATAGAATGCCAGAATATATGCCCGATAGAGTGCCAGAATTTATGCTCGATAGAATGCCAGAACAAACGCCAGACGGAATATCATATTAGGTGCCAAAATGTGTACAAGATAGATATGTTTTTGACATGGGGATGAAGCAATACTATAGCTGTCGGTTGTCAACCAAGTAAAGTATATGATTGAACATGTGTTTAACGTGTTTTCGGTTGATCAACAAATCCCTAGCTTAACAAAAAAAAAATCCAGGTGACGAAGCCGGAGGCCTCGGTGACCTGCAGGGTCACCACGTCACCGACATGCAAGTCTCGACCTGGGGCGGAACGGGACGTGCGAAGACGTGTGAGCGCAGGCGAAGAATGGATTTGGCGGGCGATGGCTCTCTAAGAGCATGCGAGATGGTACCCTCTGGTTTCAGAAAATGTCCGAACTTCTGTGAACTGCCTCACTTTGAGCTCACTTTCTGAAGAAAGGCAAGTGATTGGGACGGTGTCAGTTTCGAAAACTGGTGGCTTGGAGGACGAGTCGGTCACGGCGAATCTGTTCTGGCTCAAAAGTGATCCAGTCTCCGTAAAGCCCCCAGTCTCCGCAAAGTCCCAGTCCTTCGCAGGTGACGTGGCCAAGTGATGGCAGAGTCATGCCACTTCAGCCGGGAGAAACACTCACAGCCTGGCCTTGTAGGGAAGGCACGCCATGTCACAAAAGCACCATCTAACCACCATCTACCGCTCTTCCAAAAGAGGTGACCTAGTTAGTTGCCCATTGATCTGCATGCTGTCGCAGTGCACCTTCCAGGGCTGCTTGGCGCTCCATCGATCTTCAGATCACCCTAAAACTGTAGGGGCTCTAGTCGTACCTCGTCAGAAGGTATGACCGGCCCCCCCAAAGCCTCCCCAAACACCTTCTAAGATCTTCTAAGAAGGTCCTTGGAGCCCTAGGGGTAAAAATCAAACGTGATCTGCGTGGCATCCACAAAAGCGTTGCAGGAAAGAAGTGGTTTCTATCATATTCCGTCCCTGTCTGCTTTGGAGAGGCAACGGGATTCTCCTGAAATATAAATCTTGGAGACTGTAAACGTATTCTAGGTCCTACTGCTGGCAAAAAGCTGTATATAACCGAATTGGCCACCTAAAGGCAACCTCAGGGTAGCAAACCCACAAACATCAACTCAAATAAGTGACCCCAGAAAAGTAAACTGCCCTATGTACCAAAACAATCACAAAACGATTGAAACATCTTGAAACTATCTCTCCCAAACAGTGCAGACTGTTGATGAACACAACCTCATGGTATCATCTCAATCTCCACAATAAAAGTGACCTACTAAATGACCCTTGATTCATCAATCGTCAACCGTCATTGCCTTAAATGCCCCCTCTCACAAGAGAAGGACCCGGACTCCTCCCCCAAACTCCTGTTCGTCCCTTGCGCCACGGTGCCATTCCACGACAAGTCCACCCATCCTGGGTCATCGGAAGCTGGTTGGAGGCCATTCCTAGTAGCACAACGTGTCTGGGACTGCGACCTCAGACACACCCCTAGTCAACCACCCGCAGTCCCATGGCGCAGTCCCATGGCAGTCCCATGGAGTGTCTGGGGTAGGTTGGATGTTGGAGGCCAAACGGGACACCATCCGGGGAACCGGCAGTCTGGGTCCAAACGGGACACGGTCCAGTTATTGGTCTGATGCACATCGTGACACACAAGGTCGTCACGGACGGACAAAGACCACCACCGCATAGAAACCAGCACCTATTGGTTTTGGAGGGTGTGGGTTTGGGGATGGGAAACAGCAATGGTGAGATGAGTCTGTGAAATCTTAAATGAAAATAAAACCATTTGAAGCACGAACTCAGAAGTGCATCCTGGGCTCTTTTTCTAAATCTGTTTTCCTGCCGAGAAGGTCTTTCAGCGCAAGAGGCACATAGACCGACGGCTTCCACCGTGTCTTCATCCGTCGGCTGGAACCGTCTTCAGGCGGTTTGACCGAAACAACTCGAAATCATGGCTTTCATGGGTCTTGTTTTCGTGGAAGGCCAGAATCCTCTTTAATATCGGTAGGATTCGGAAACTAATCGGTCGGATTCTGAAACTAGGGTTCTGAAACTGGGGTTCTGAAACTAGGGTTCTGAAACTTGGATTCTGAAACTAGTATTCTGAAACTGGGGCTCTGAAACTAGGATTCTGTAGCGGAGCGCGGGTGGTAGCGCAGCGGGCTCAAGCAAAAGGGTTTCCTAACCCAACCACTTCCAAACAAACGAAGGCCGCAGTAGCCTCTTTTCCAAGACCTCAGGGGTCCTCACATGCCATCCATGGCAGTCAAGCGTGGCTCACAAAAAGGGGCCCCTCTTTGGGCCCGACACATGCGGAAAAGCAATCTGTTGCACCAGTACAAAAACACTTCAGCTCTTGAGTGGGAGCTCTCTCAGTCATCAGCAGCGCATCTTCACCTGCGTGGAGTTCACCAGCAGTGTGATTGCAAGGCTCCACTTGTAGCGCTCAAGCTCAAGCTGCTCAGCTCGCATGGCCAGCGCATGCTCTTCGAAGGAGCTCATAGGGCCAGCTGTGGACAAGGGGTCGGAGCCATGGCCAAGCGCATCGTCCACCTTTTGGACGGCAGTCTTTCCCAGCCGTTTGTTCTTCTTGGCAGCAACGAAAGATAGGCGATCGACCACAGCCAGGTGCGGAGGAACTTGTCCAGGCCGAGGCGACTGTCAGCGCGCTTTTTGGTGAAGCCATCAGCCAAATCATAATCGGATGCCAACCACCTCAGCTCACAGCCCACGCGGCGCAAATTGTCTCGCAGTTGAAACGCTTGCAAAGCCGCTCGCATGTTGCTCAAGCCGAGCAGGGGCGATTCATTGACTTCAATCGCGTCATACCCTCCCCTGCTGTCCGTACACAGCACGCCAGGCAGGAGGCTCGCCTGCTCTTCAGCGGCTTGCACCAGGTCGACGCGGCGTTCGGCTCGTCGGCTGCCGACGCCATGGAGTTCACGTAGTCGAACCCGGAAATTCTGATCCTCTGCTTCTAGGATCGACTGAACCTCAGCATCGTTCGATCCGACAGCTTTGCGCCTCAACTTCCATGTTCTCCATGAAATGAGAACCATGGGGACGACCTGTCCCTTCAAAGCCAGTGGCGAGGTCGCCAGCGTCAGAAGGCCGCCGGTGGAGTCACCCTGTGGGCGGTTCAGGTGTGACTGATCACCCATGGAGACGAAGGTGACGTCATTCCACTTCTTCACGCCCTTGAGGGGGAAGAACTCGAGCTTGATGGGGTTGGCACGGACTTCACCGATCATGGACTGGATCTCGCGAGCTGTCTCCAGCGTGCCGTTGGTCACCACCTCTGTCAGGAGCAGGTTGCATCTGGCGCAGATTTGTGGCTGACTTTGGATGGCCAACCATTGAAGTGCGCCAAGGGCCGTGCGGCAGGCTGCTGTTTCAGCCTTGTTGAGGCTGCCATCTTGCCGAAGACGATCAGGAGGAATGTCCACATCAACCAGTGTCTCTATGTAGGAGTCCTGATCGACGGTGATCTAGAAGAGGCCATCGTCTCGGCGAACTGTTTTGATGTCAGTTCCAGCATGCCTGTAGTTTTCCCTTTTCGCTGTTCCCCATTTGTAGGAAGCCAGGATGCGGTCATAAATCATCTTCCATTCGTCAGAGTGGGGGTTGCCAACAACATGGAAGTCGTCCACGTGACCGCCCATTACACCAAGTAGGCGTGGATGTCCAGTTTCACCGACCTCAGACTTGGAGAACCAGGCCCACAGGCAACGTTCGCCCAGAATGGGCGTTGCACCAAGGTTCACAAGGGTGCGGTGCAAGTCCAGCCATAGTCCACGAGGTGCCGTTGTGCTCCCGTAGATGTTGCGAAGCACTCGCATCACACCATCTTCACCAATGCCCAGAGCCTCACGAAGTTCTCGAACTCCTGAAGTCCAGATCTCCTGATCTGCATCTGTTGGCTGTGTCTGCAGAAAGGCAGTGGCCAGGTCCAAGCCATGAATTGGCCATTGGTGATGAGTGGAGAGGAGGTAGATGAGGCTCCGGCCGATCATCGATTGGACAGGAGCCGTTGTCTTGAAGCTGCGGTCCAGGAGTGAAGGTGTTCAAAACCCAGGAGCACAATTCGTGCCTTTGCCTTCCTGGTGCCATCGCGAGCAACGACGGTGTTCTTGTCCTCCAAAGCCTCGCGCCGAGCATCTGCCAGCTCATCTGGAGGTGCGGGCTTCCAAGTGAGAACCCAGCGAGCACGAATGATCCTCTTGGATCCATAAGCTTGGCGAAGTTCAGCATCATTGAGGCGTTTGCGGACTGCCTCATTCTTCAGGAAGGAGTCCACCTCCGTGGTCTTGGCACGCATGAAGAGGGCCTTATCGTAGCTTGACAACTTCTCAAGCTTGACTTCAGAGCTGTTCATCTTCTTGGTGAGGTAGAGGATGGGGTTGCGCTCAAACATCTTTCTCTGCCGGTGACTGTTCAGGGTGAGGTCAAAGTGGATCATCAGAGCCTCTTCGGCAGTTTGGAGCACAGAGAAGATGTCAATCTCTTGTGACTCAAGATGGGCATCTTGTTCAAGCTGTTCAATCCAGCGGATGTCATAGTCAGAGTGCTTGACTCGCTTTGGATCAGGTTCTTCAGGATGAGGTGCTGCTGGTGAAGCTTCTGCTGTCTCTTCAGTTGGCGATTCCGGTTCATACTCATTGACCATGTCCGGTGGGTACTCAAAAGCAACCTTGGGCTTTGGGACATAGCTGACCGGAGGTGTGGAAGAGCTCGAACCAACGCCAACAGGAGAAGAGCGATGCGCTGCACGCCAGTCTTCTGGTGCCAAGGTCTGCTTGTGACCAGCTCGTCGGATTGGCATCATAGTTGTATCATCAGGTTCTGGAGGAAGATGCTGAGTTTCCGGCTGATCTGGTGGTGGCACTTCATCAGTGATGTCCACGGACTCCCGTTGAGGCAGGATGTCCGTCAGCGATTTCCACTTGGTGATGTCCTCCCGGTGGTTGAGGTCATGGTGGAGTCGCTCAGTCGGTGTGACGGGTCGCACAGAGTGTACGCTGCATCTCAACAGCTTGCCAGACATCAGGACCCAGACGATGTGGCGCCTAGGATCATCTTGAGGTTGATGTGGTAGCATCTCCGTGAAGATGACTCGTCCTGGGCCTACCCAACCAGGTCGGCTGCTCTTCTTCATTCCTCCACGAGGTCCAGTGTGGATGTCGTGAGGTAGGACTTGACGCCAAACTTTCACAAGATCTGCCACCTGAAAGGTTCGAAGAGGTTGGCGAGCTTTGCTGTTTCCCAAGCGAGACAGGATTCGTTGGGATCGACTCTTCACTGCAACTTGTTCAGCTCGCTGTCGTGCTGCCACCAGTGAAGCATATATGTTGCCCGATCACCAAGGTGTGCCATGATTCTCCTGTCCTCTTCGCTCACGGTGTAGTCACGACCGAAAGCCCATTGGTGCGAGCTGTAGCCGCTCACATACTCCGTGCTGTTGAGAGCTGACGTAGCGAGGAACAGAGAGATCAGCGGATCTTGGGTGATGTTGTCCAGCTGTATGGCACTTGCTGTAAATTTGAGATCTTTGATTGCATGTTCCACCACTCCATCCTTCTTTCTCAGCTGGGTAGAAGAGCTCAATGCCATTGCCCCGCAGGAGGCACCCAGCTTGATGGAAGTGAAGGACTTGGCATTGTCTGCGATGATGCAGTGTGGTTTTGGATATTGGCTCAACCAATGCATGGAGATTCCCTTGATGACCAGCTCGGAGTTTTCAATCTTCATGGTGGTGATGTCATACTCCGGCAACAGTGGATAGACGGCTCGTAGTCGAGTGGCCATGTCTATCATCAAGAGGAACTTCTGCTTGGTCGTCTTCCCGGGAATAGTCCACTCAGCCACATCTAGACCAAGAGCTTCCCAGGGACCAAATTGTGCATGAGTTGCAGCAGGAGGCACGTTGCCACTTGAGATGCCACCAGGTCGTAGACCATCACATGTAGGGCATCTGAAGTCATGGGCCATCTTGACCTTCCAGGGTTCCAGATTGGCATCACGTACGATGCGGGCCAAGTTCCGACCAGAGCAATGGCCAGCAGCTTTATGGAAATGTGTCAACTTCACATGCCATCGATCACGTTCTTGATCAGGTCCGAAGTTGCAGATTCAAGGCATCTTCGAACTCTTCCTGCTCCAGTCTCCGAATGCCGGCGGCGTACTGGACGAGTACATGAGCAAGTTGTTCCAAATCCTTACTTTGATATTCTGAGATGTAGTAATCTGTGTTTTGGGCGGCAAGGTGCATGCAACAAATTGAAAATATGGCTCTACGAACTTCGGCTGTGTCAAGCGCTGCTAGGCTTGTGGGTGCACAAGAAGCCAGCATCTTGCATTGCTTGGGGCTCAAAATCTGTACGAGGGGCAAATGCTCAAGCTCATTGCCCGTTGATGGGAGGTCGCGATGAACGTCACACAGGGCTCAATTTTCTGCAGCTGCTTGTCCAGTTCTGTTTGAACATGCTTCAAAGGCTCAGGTGGTGCCAAAAGGACATGGCAATGTTCCATCGATTTCTTCACCGCCGTCCACCTGGCTATGATATCAAGGATAGCAATGCCATCCACATTCTGGGAATGTCGCCACCACGCCACTGTGGTTCTCAGAAAGGCTATTCTGAGGATCAAGTTGAGGAGAGCTGATAGTTCTAATTTCGAGACTTGATGGAAACAACAAGCCTTAAACCAATTTACAATCCAAATGGGTGGTTTTATCCATCAACAGTCAACACTATTATGGTAACGATCTTTTTTTGTGCAAACTTTCGAGCAACTTTGTTAACTATCGGATAACTATCAATACCCCCGCAAACTAACAGGGAACGTAAGAATTGACCTGTGGTTTAGACCGTTTTCCGAATTCCGACCCTATGTTAATCTTCCAGAGTGTATATCAGCTAATATCAGCATTTTGTTGGACTATACCAGCACCACCTATTCTATGTGGTGATTGGATGGAGAATACACCTACCCGGGGTGGTCGATACTATCGTCCAAGCTTCGATCGTCCTTCCCGTTGTACATCTGCCCGTCATAGCCCACTGTCCAGCACGCCTGGTACGTTAGAGCTTGTTGGCTCACTATTGTTCCGGAGTTGCTATGTGATATGCAGCTGGGTGCATCAAAACCATTGGTGAGTGGTATCTGCGTCAATGTCCGCACTGGGTTCGTGCTGAGCCAAAGCAACCTAAAGGATTGATTCTCAGTTTCGAAAGCCTACCAAAAGCTTAGCGGAACGGATTTCCTTGGCAGTCGAACTCATTCGCTGACTGGTTCTTTTGGTCTATCAAAACAGCTCTATCTACCATCCAACCTCCTCCTCCTGCCCGCTTGTGCAAGAAACACCGCACCTGCACCCCGTCGATGGTGTCAGTCATTTCATCCAAGTCCTTCGGGCCGTTGGTGGTCACCCCCAGTGTCAAGCCTCCGGAAACGCGCGGCGCTCTCTGCTGCGACCGGAAGATCCAAATTCTGAGAGAGTCTGGAGATCATTGGAAAAAAAAGAACAACAACACTGGATTCGGAGGCGAGAAAGTGAGGTGATTTTTTTAAGGTGTCGTTGTCGTGGGTGATGGCTCTTTTGGAAGGATCAGCAGAAGGACAAACTGTTCAGTTGATCTGTCATTACAATATGCCAAGATGCTCAGTGGTATAGGTCTCGAAGGGTTCGTGGGCGGCCGGATGGCGGGTCGTGGGTCGCAGGTTTACAGGGGCCTGGCTTTCGGAAGATCTGGTTCCAGAACTCTATGCTGAGGTTACTTGGGCTCTATGCTCCCTGAAACAATGCATGGGAAGTGGACAATCGCCTGTTAACTAGAGGAAATGGTCATTGAAGATCATTAAAGTCGGTATGTTCAACGAATTCATGATTTGTTTTTCCAGGAAGTATATGGTGGTTGATCAGTATTCTTTCATCCTGGGTTTTCGATCAACTCCCATATACTTTGTTCAACTAGCAAAACAATGCACTCCTCCACATTTGGCCCTTCCAGCCTTCTAAGCCCACTGTCTGGTCATGAGTCAGGCCTGATGAAAACGACATGCAAGAAGAATCAAGATCTGCACCCTAGGGATCCAGTCGTACCTTGTCAGGTACGGTGATTGGAAACTGTTTATGTAGGTGCCAGGAGGGTCCAGTCGTACCTTCTGAGGACGTACGACTGGATCCCTAGGATTACATGAAAGCCTGATTCAAACAAACCTCAGTCTCATCTTGACGTTCGCCCGGACTCGGGCCCCTCCTGGGTCCCCCTGACCGTCCATCATCTCCGAGCGTGTCTTCGTGAGCTCCACTGAGAAGTAAACGCCCGAAGTGGCATTTCGCGCCAGCCTAGGAGGAATGCTTCCAGCCAATTGAAATTTGTGTAGAGAGCTGTGCTGGGCTGGGCTGGGCTGTTTGGATGAACACTTTGGTAGACGTCTGAGGGTCTTTTGCACGAACACGCTGATGGTGACAAACACGACGGAGCTCGCTGCACACCGTGGTGGTTCTTCAACGTCGACTGACTCACGTCGACTGACTCACGTCGCTCGTGCTTGTCGGGTCGACTCCGGGTGGAGTCGACGTGCACCTGGGGAAGGTGGGGAGGGGAGAGCGGAGGGTTCATGATCTCTCCGATCTTCTCATAGGATCAGCACCAGAAAGCCCTATGAGTTCTTTGGAGATCGTGAGAATCCCGACCTGGACTGGATGAACCATTGTGTGGGGGAAACGTGCCCAGCCCCAAAAACCATCTTTGGATAGGTGGTGATGTCATCATTACAGTCTATCATCACGTGTGACTCACCCTGAAATCTGTTTTGGAGATTGATGAATCGAAAAAGATCTCACATGGGGCGTTTAAAAAACGCCTCTCATCTTGACCAAAACCTTGGCTCGGACCCCTCCCTCTTGATGCCTCGTGCTTAGTATGAGGGTTCATGAACCACCAGAACGACTCGCACCAGTCGTCCGTCCTCAAAGCCCGGACCCGGTCGGACACCCCTCGGCCCCGGGACGGCTCGTTCCCAATCAGCCCTCCGTGCATCTCATGCCTCGCTGCGGGAGACCGTCACCCGACGTGACGTAGACGTTTCATCGGGAGACCGACGGCGATCATGGAACCAACACGGTGGGGCCATCCGGATGGAAAAAACCATGTAGTGGCCCAGGGGTATTTATTTGGTTTCTTAGATGGGCACGACCGAGAGAACAAGATGGGCTTCATAGAGCGAGTTCACTGTGAACTCTCCTCCGCTTTTTCGGATCGAGTTCAAGGCACATGTGATCCCCGTCCAGATCCCCGTCTGTACGGCAGGTTTGGAGTCGGGCATTCAATAATATATTTAAAAAAATAGGAAAACACATGACGTCAGACACAATCCTGTACGACAAATAGCGTTTTTAAGGACCAAAGGTTGCTATAGAATCCTTGTGTTCCAGTCTACTTAAAAACATCAACAAAAATAATAATCGAGAGCATTTTCCTAGGAAACCTCCAACCAGTATTTATATTTTTTCTGTGCTCTCTCAAGGCCAAATCGAAGAGAACATGCTATTTTTTTAACTGAGACTTCTTGAAGAGAAGAGTCTATTCCATTTCAGTTTTGTCCACAGGATTTTATATGATTTTTGAGATTTATGAAGATATACCATAGATAACCGTTGATATCCTTGAGGCTTTGGTATCTTTGAGAGTTTTTTTGTACTCTCTATCATGGGGCAATATGAATTGGATCCTCAAGCTATTTATATCTGGCGCTGTTGCCTGCAGGTGCCGCAGGAGAACGCCGAGAAGCCTGAACCTCCCTTCTGTTGACCAGGCAATTCAGCTGGGCGAATTAGGGTGAGGAGGATGTGTCCGTGGAAGTTCAGGTTTTTGATATTGTGGGACGGCAGCTTTGCAATCCTTGAGTGGAATGTAAGGCCCAAGCAAATGGCAGCAGTGTGAGACGTGAGGGTATACAAGCACTTGGGTGGCCCATTGGGTTTTGCTAGCGATCGCCAAACGTTGAGTTGAATTTTTTGTTTTCACGTCATTTGAACTGGATCCTCAAGATATTTCTGGAGCCGTTGCTTGCAGGCGTCGAAGGAGGAAGCAGAGATTCATGAATTTCCTTCTGGTGGCCAGGCACTTCAGCTGCGCTGACTGGGGTGCAGAGAGTGTGACAGTTGAAGTTCAGGTGTTTTATATTTTTCTTCCTGTCACATCTTGATCATCTTGAGAAAATAGGAATACGAAGACAGTGACAGATACACAATTGCAGCTGTTGGCCAACCTCTTGCAACCCGATATTTGGGCAGATTTGCTTTATAAAATCCTATACAAGGGCAACTAAATTATTTGAAGGTCTTGGGCAACTAAACTTCAGTTCGAGCATTCTGCCAATCTGGTCTTGGTCCCCAACAAGATGTGAAACCAATGAACATGAATCTACACTTCTGTCCACGCTCTGCATCCCGTTTTTTACCTTTTAGCAGGATGCTGCAGAGCAGGAGACCCTTGAGCAGTGGCGACTTCAACTTATAGATCTTATAGATGTCTGTCCTTCGTGGAAATTCCACATTTATAAAATCCTGTCCACTGGGAAGACAGTGTTTTCTCCCAGGATGGTGCCCAAGATCGCGGAGCAGCAGAATGTCAGCAGGCGGGCTTGGGCACCAGTGTGTCAGTGGAAGTGGAAGTTCATGCGTGTTATATTTTACTGTCACATGCTTGTCTTGTTCAGAGCATGGAAATCAAAGTATAGAAGACATGAAAGACGTTGTGTGGAGATGCCGAAGGAGAACGCCGAGAAGCCTGAACCGCCTTTTGGTCACCAGGCACTTCAGCTGGGCCAATTGGGGTGCAGAGAGTGTGTCAGTGGAACTCATGTTGCTTTATATGTTTCTGGTATGTGTTGATATTTCTCTCACAGCTCCAAACAATAGAAATACCAGCGCAGGAATGAAATGGTGTGAATGACTTGGGGATGACATTCATCTTCTGAATGCTTTTCTGCTGCCTTTGCTTGCAGGCTTGCAGGATGCGTTGGACGAGGATGAAAACGTGGAGATCATGGAGGCCGAAATTGTCTCTGTGAACAGTTTGTTTAAAAGCATGATGCTAGAGGACTTAGATGGATTTGCATTCCGAGGATAAAGTACATTCATGGGGATCGGGATCATCGAAATCATTGCAGATTACGCGAGTTAGAATGATTAGAAGGAGGAAGCATGGGGGAAGAGGCATAGCAGAATCAGTATGTGAACATGTCCTGCCGTCTGGTGTGCCAGTATATTTTCCTGAACAAATGATTTTATATTATTTAGTGTTCCAGTTCATTTGGTTTCCTGGAAATCCTGAAATGGTGGTCTTATAAATGCCTGTAAATATAGCTTGTATGAAATCCTGCTCATCCTTTGTTATTTTGCTATTGGATCCTGTCCTTGGTTCAACATAAAATCCTTATTGTTTTTAACATAGGCCTCGAAAACCTTATGAAAAATGGATGTCCAGCTACAGGACAAAATATTGGCCGTACAGACGGGGATAATACAGCTGCTCAATCTGCGGCGTTCTGTCCAAGTCCTGCTTCTACACAAGCGCTGGCGATCCTTATCCAAAAGACTGCTCCCTGAATAATCTCAGAGAACAGTTGCCTGAAAAGAAAGGCTAAAGTGGAGAAAGTGAAACAATGGTTGTTGAGATTAGAGTTCGGAATATTTCTGTAACAACATTCAGACTTTCATCACTGGCTTCGGAGGACCTCGACTGCCAGGTGGTTGAACTGGGCAGATCTCGACTGCCAGGTGGAATCCCCAAACATCGATTTGGTCGAATGCATCCAAAAAGGACGCATATCAGCTACATTTGATGTGGGAAAATGAGCGGAAGCCCAGTTTGCGGTCCAGTTCGTGTGTGGAAGCTTTTCGGATATGGCTACTGGTTCAGAAACACAGGAACCTGCAAAATTTAGTCCTTTCAGCTGGTCCTTTCACCGGTTGAGCTTGGAGGGCATCCGATTTTTGAGCCGGGCGTGGCATATCGTTCTCACCTGTTGGGTGAGCCGCAGAAAACATGATCTTAGGTTGGAGGCCATTGCTATTAAGTTGGAGCCCGTCGCTTCCAAACAAATTGCTAACATGTTTTCCCAACTCGTCCAAGACCTGGGCTACTGCCCGGCCCATGCCGGCACGACTGCTGGCACGATATTCGGTGCCCTATCTCTCTAAACAGTGTCCATCCTAGATCACTGATTCAGTGAACCTTTTTCCACTGGCTGGATTCCTTCGGTTACCCCAAAACAGCTTGGGCAGCTTTCCACGGACGGTCATCCAAGGCAGGGTCATCCAACACCTGAAGGAAGGGAAACACATCCATCCAACGTCCAACCCGACTCCGGCGCCGCAAAGCCGCCGAGGAACATGTCAAGGGCAGGGTCAAGAGTTGCAATATGACATGGGAGTTGTGATGATGTGTGTGCACCCAAGCCTGCCCGAAGCTCTACACAATGTATCACCAAAATGGTGTAGAACGAAACAAAGGCACTTTTACAGCGAAACCAAGTTCATCCATTCTGCAGGCCAAATTTTAACGAAGATGTATGAGATGAGATGATGTGTTGGGTGTAAAAAAGGGAAAGGCCCAATGCGTGGACTGGTCTAAGTTCCTTCTTCCGGATAAAGAGAAGATATTGTTTTGAAGCTCTGGATACTGGGCCCACGCAAAAGCACCTTCTGGGTATAGGACTATAGCTTTAGCCCATCTATTCCATGATGTTTTAATCCACTCAACATATTGTCATAGGTACGGCTGAGTTGCTTGGCAGGTCTGTGTGGGTGCTGGACATGAAACTATCCGATTGAATCCTAGGGTTCCAGCCACATCCTCAGGTTCGGTGGTGGCACCCACCCCAACCACCGAACCTGAGGGGATGTGGTTGGAGCCCTAGGGGAAGAACCTCTTTTCATCTCTTTTCGGGCCGCCCTCCGCAAAAACGATGTCGTTTGAGGAGCCCTGCCCCGTCTGTCCCGTGTAGGTGGCACTTAGGGCGTCCTGGAGGAGAGGCGGTGTAACCAGCGGGAGTACAGGCTGCCGTAGAGGTCATATGATCTTGAGAGGAAAGCTTGTCAGGATGCTCAAGATGCACAGGAAAATTGGTCTGGCAAGGACATGTGAGAAGATTCTACGTTTCCGGGGTTTGGAGTCATGTCATGATCTACATCTCTTTGTCATGGGAGGATGCATGGGGGGCTTTTGGAGTGGATCCACAGATTTGAACATCCGCAGTGACGGAAGGTCCTCTGATAGCCGGACGTAGTGGCCTTTCTTCTTGAGACAAAAGCCAGACCTCGGGACAAGGAACGAACAGTGTGGTCCACAAATGTTATCCGCGCCACTGCGGATGTCTTTGCAATCCAAGGTGCATCTTCACTTCTTTCTCTTCTTGTGGGACATTCTCAGCCTCAGGCCCAAGGTGTGCTGTGCCACGAGCCGCTGTTGTTTTACATTCCAGACATATTTTTTGCCACTCACCACGTACTCAAGGAAAATGTCAAGTCAAGTAAGTGGCAAAACAAGTATACCGTATACCCGAAGAGACAAGGCCCCCAAACTCCTATACCCGGATCTTCTAACTCTACAGTTTTTTTAATTTGTTGATCTATAAATCCACATAAAACCAACCAAAAGGCAGAAAGTGTGCATACCTGGAAGATCCAGGTATGGGAACTGGATGGAACTCAGTTTTTCATAAGGCGACTTGCCAAAAGGGGAGGATAACACAAGCTCTTCATGTACCCCCAGCAGCACTGGAGGCCCACACGGCGTTCATCGGCTCTGCGAGGCTTGGCCTCGCATGGCTACGCGGCTTGGTCTCCACCAGCAGTCGGACTTGTATAGACTGGCCCCTCAGCCAACAGAGGGTCTTTTGCCAAGTACCCCAAAGCACTCGAGCGAGTAGTTCCCAATCACCAACTACGAAGAAAAACAACAAAGCCAACGTCCACAACAACCCCTTCTTTTGGAAGTAGAGGCCCAAGACTGGGATTCTTGGAAAAAAGGAGGCTGAAGCCTCCTGCAACGATGCGCCACTTCGATACTCACCCGACAGGCTTGTGCAGCTGGAGTTGCCCTCAACGTTGCCTTGACCGACGCCGTCCAGCATAAGGCACTGCTAAGTCATAGGAGCCGCCGCGACTGCCAAATCCAACTCTCACGTGCGCTTGAGCAACCAGCGGCAGACATGTGGTTTAAGGACTTTTCAGGCCTGCCGGCGCCAAAGTTGGAACGTCAAGCCAGCAAGACTGCAGCATTCTGTCCAATATTGACAGGTTAAGCGGCATCTGTGAATTTGGACACTGGATCTCCTTACTATTTGTTCGTGTGGTACGAGCTCACTGGTGTAGTGAAAGTAACACGCCTGTGGGATGACTCCATCGTCTGTGTATGCACGGGGCGAAAAAACCAAGCATGTTTCCATGTGCGTTCACAACTTCTCTGCAGGCCTGGAGGGTCCAGTTGTGCCTTCTGAGAAGGCATTTGGATGGAGATGGTGCTCATAATCTACCTTTCTTCTCCTTTCTCTAGCCCCCCTGACCGAACCTGATGGGTTTGGACAAGATGGGATCGATGTCAGGCCTGAGATTGCTCAGTTTTCTCTTCCCTTCTTGTTAGGGGAGAATTTGCACACCTAAAATCGGTCCACCAAATGGCCAGGCCTCCAAACACTCCAACGGTGGTGCCATTTGCTGGGCCGAGATGAGAAATGGCGGAAGTATACGGGGTCCTCGAAGTTGGTGCTTTAGTAGTGGACCCACCATCTATGGCCAGGCCATCTTCGGGTGCCATGAAACTCACCTACACCACCCAGACCCCTGGCACTATAGCTTGACCTGCAGGGCCGTAAACTCACACCTGCGGACGAACCAAACGAGCTAGTCCGAGGTCAGAAGCCTGTGACGATCGAACTCTCTCTCTCTCTCTCTGAACGTTACAGTGGTGTAAAGAGGTGAGTTTCATGGCACAGACCCGAAGATGTCGGGTTTTTTGTTGGTGGGTCCACTACTAAACCACCAACATGGGGGAATTTCTCATCTCTTTGTACCACTGGTTTCCAGCGAAAATCGGTTGCAACGTCTCATGAGTTTTTCAGGCCTGGCAGCATCAGGCCACTGCTTCACAACTCATTGATCAACAGGCCACTGCTTTGGAGACAAGGTGAGGAAAAGGATACGTAATACACTAGTTCTCATCTTGCACTCACCTCCTTTCTCTCTGGGTGGCGGGGGTTGGTCCTCAAAAATAAGGAGACTCGTGTCACGTGTTCTTCTTATTTCAAAAAGGGACGCCCCTCTTGTCTTGGCCCGATAGGGTTGGCCCTCTTGAAAACATTAGTCCATGGGATGAATATGGATCCATCATCCCATCTATATAAAGGTTGCACAAACAAACCTGAAACCACCACCCGGTGACCCAGTCATGATAATTCTGAACCTCTTCGTGTTCTGAAACCATCCGTGCCGTCCTTCTCCGTCTATCTCCCTCCATCATCCGCAGATGAAGTGAAACGCATGTGTTCCCGCATGGAGAGCCCCACCGCTTTCTGGGCCTCGCGTCCAAGCGAAGCTTCACCGCATCGCAACTGCCCAGCAGATCCACCACAGCAAAGAGGTCGCTGGCCTCGCTGGGCCGCGTCGCGTCGCTCGGTGCTCCGGTCGGCCCTTTGGGATCGTTGACGACAACGCGACGCGTGACCACGCGTTGGACACGAAGACGTCGTCGGTCCAGGAAACTCGTACCGGACTGACGACGGTTGGGCTCCAGGAAAGTGCTTTTTCCTCAGCTGAAGGTATGACTGGAGCCTACTGGTACCCTCCCCAAACACCTACAGTATAAGAAGGCACGACTATTTTTTTAGCGCTATAGCTGTCGGGGGATTCCAAGCGTTCCAAGCGTCTGACAAGTTCCGATGACCTGAAGGAACGTCGTTCCTGCAGCGAAGGTCCTGATCCCTTCACTGCAGGGCAGATCGTCTTTTGGACGGGTGTGCGAGTGCTTCGAAGTAGTGGGCTGGGTGTCATCCAGCCAGGACACGCATAGTAAATTGATGTAAATTGATACAGCTTGCCGGTCTTTCCTCTGTTTCTGTGTCTCTCTTTGGATCTGTCCTTTGGATGTCCATGATGTCTGTTGGGAAGCCTTCGCTGGCAAGAAGCAAGCGATGGCAGGGCCCTGGCCGATGGAGGCGGATGGTTGGAACCCCATATGCGCTGGCGCCAGCGCCATAGATCCTTTACAGAAAGTGGCTGGGACGGCGGGTTTGCGGGTTTCGGTAGTGGCGGTCGGTCCCTTCAGTCCTCCGCCGGTCTCAAATCCGAAAACTGGGCAGCGACCGGTCGGCGTGAAATCAAACCGTTTTCTCGGCCAGCGACAAAGTCGGAGCTCTTGCTTCAGAGAATCTGAGCATTTACCCTGGAGCCTTGGAAGTGCTACAGGACAAACCCTTTCAGCCAACCTTCATGTCCGAACACCTAGCCTTCACAGCTTCACCACAATGATCGCTCGAATGGCGCAGCGGACCGCATGACTGGAGAGGGCTTAAGCCATGCACACCGATGAATTTCAGGCACACTCTCCAGGCAAATGACCCTCTCCACACCGATGACTCGAAACCGTTCGGTTCTTTCCTCGATCCACCAGCCACACGGGTGCGCTTCGGTTCGGTCGAAGGACCCCACAGCAAGTTTGACCGTTGATCACTCCGAGTGTTTACGTTGGTGTTCGTGGCGTTCTTGGATGGCCAAGCACTTCCATTGGAGATGAAGGAATTCATGATCCTGGATCCTTTTGGGGGAAATGCCAAGCACTTCCATTGCTATTTTGGCGAGTATAATCATGATATATCATGATCATATAGACGCTTGCATGACATACTCCCTAGAGCTCCAAGTAGCTCCTCAGAAGGTATGACCGGAGCCGGACCCTCCTGGCTCTCCCCAAACACCTTCTAAGATCGTCTAAGAGGGTACTTGGAGCCCTACAGTAGGGATTATCATGTCACAGTCGTGTAGATCCAGCCAAACCGCCGCTCTTCTCGGGCACCGGCATATGGCACTTGCGCATGTTCTCGTTCGAGCACCACCTGGTGCATCGGGTTGGTTGGTGCTGTTGTATTGGGTCATAGAGGTGAAACAAGACAGCGCTTTGTATCATGAGAGCTGACGATGGAGATCGATGAATGGACCAAGAATAGCAGTGCCTGCTTCCCACTGATAGGATGGATGACCTGGTCTTGCGGAAATGGCAACGGTCTCAGTGTCCATGCGGAAAACTGAGTAGTGTTCTCTTCCCTCAAAACGACCGCTGTTGGAGCTGCGACGCAACGAACCCAGTAGCGATTTCGCCGTAACAAAAACGCCGATTTCGCCGAACAAAAGCCGAACGCTTTTTCTCAACTTCGTGTCCACCACACACCGAACATTGCTCCCAGTAGCGATGCCAGGAGCCCCTAGTAGCGTCCGATCGCTCCTAGTAGCGATGCCCTTTGCTCCTAGTAGCGTCCGATCGCTCCTAGTGGCATATCGACACGTTGGCCTCGTGGCCCGACGAACTGTGCCCAGTTCGAACGCCGGAGCCTCACCGTTCACCAGCACTACGAAAGCTCCATCTGGGCGGATGAGAACGCCCACCTGGCCGAACCGGCCACCGGGCGGGCACGTCATGGGCTTGAAGAGAGAGAGAGAGAGTGACGCGATTGGGAAGGATTCTATTCAAAGGTTGCACAGGTTGCATCAACTATTGCGCTGCCTGGGATTTGGGTTTGGTTCTGGAAACATGAAAAACTTATGCTGCATGTCTATGGTTGACCTGGCTGCTGGTGGAACGAATGACTTGGGAGGTCAACCTACGTTTTCAAAAAGTTGGCTCTCACCAATTCCGCACATGTCAGCCACAAGGTACTCTTCAGGGTGTCAAAGGCAAATCATTTGTTCTTTAATGCACCTCCATCTCAGGCACCTTCAATTGAACTGGAGGCCCACCTGATCACCCAGGACCTCGTTGTTCCACCTGCTTCTTCACCTGATCAACCAGCCACTTCACCCCCCACCTGATCACCATTCTGCAGCGTCGAAGGGTTCCAAGGCGCAGGGAACATATCTGCCTGGCCGGAAGCTGTTCGATGGGTGTGTATTAACCCCGATCAGGCCAGGGGTGGTTGACTGGGGGTCTGTCTGGGGCAGTCCGAACTGGCAGTCCCATGGATCGTCGTGTCTGGGGCAGCAAGTAGCGAGACCTTTCCAGTTCGAACTTCGACCCCTTGAAGGACAACAGACATCAATAGACCAAATGTTACCAAATCATCCAAAACCCAATGGAAAAGAGTGTCTCCCTATTGAAATAGACACCGAAATGTAGCTGCGAGAGACCCTATACATCTTGATGGCGAAAATCAACTGTCAGAAGGAACGCACGACATGAGATGCGATAATGTGTTCCAAAAAAGGAACTAACAAACCACTTCAGTCAATGTGGAACACCCTGGCCACAATCAATCACAACTGCCTGCCTAAGTACAAAAAAGCACGCTTGGCACATTCCCGCAGTGATGGAAGGCTAGCAGGAAGAGAATAGCACTGCGGAACACAACGCGGTATTTGTCTTAAAATACGAGTACGTAAGTCATATAGTTCATTATGTGATCAAGGCGGCTGGCTGAACAGCCGCTTACACCACGAAGCTGCTTCGTAGAATGCCGGCGGAACCGTCAGCCGGCGATCCAGGATTCCGGCGTCTCGCGGTGGGAACCTTGAGACCAAACAAAACCTGGGCATGACGTTTGTCCGCAAGCCAAACAACATGAGTCCCAACTCTCAACAGTCCCAGAACATCCGCAAAAACCATCAAAACCACATCGGCATGAAGAAAAACACCCTATTTACTCCCCTGCAGAAAAATCAACGGCCCCCCCCAAATCTCGTCATGAGCCCCCCCATCTCGTCATCGTCCTCTTCTCACGGTCTCCGTCCGATCCGGTCCTCCTGTTCTCAGCTCGATCCGAATCACTCGATGTCACGGTCGCCCGTCGGATCGGTGCCTCCGTGGGATCCCAAAAGAGGCCATCATAGCCAGCGATCCAGGTCTGTGGTATCCTCCGTAGGTCACGACGCCGCGTTGTGTTGTCACGTCACGTTGTTCCGTTACGTTTTCACGCCCTGTGTCACCGCAGAGGTCACGATCGCGCGGTTTGAAACCAGGACGACCCGCATTCCCAGAGGTCAACTATAAGGCAACAGAATTCTGGAGTTGATTGTGCCAGGTGCTGGCTCATGACCAGAATATCACATATTATAGTTGGTTGTTCCTCCAACCTCTTTTCCTACAAGGCCTCTTGACCTTTGTTGGTTCCTAGAATCTTGACCAGTGGTCCTTTCTGGGAAGTTGTGAAAGCTGTGGCTGGTGGGAATCCAACACTTGAACTCGCTTCTGAACATGTTTTAAGCGAAACTGAACTCCTTGGACTCAGCCTGACAAGTCAATGTTTGAGTCATTCTTTAGCAAGTCGAGTTGCGCAAATTTGCTCCTTGAATGGGTAATTCCAAAGCATGCCCAAGTTCAGAAATCCAAATTTGTGCAAGTATAGTTGTGCGGGGTTGTGATCGGTTCTTGCCCAACACTGGGCCCAGATTGATGGTTTTGTCAATTTCTAGGCAAGACCAAGTCTTAGGTGTCATGTACTGAGTTGGAATCAAAAAAGCTGGCGGAACAACCTTTTATGGATCAGCTCTCTTATGAATTCGAACACGACGGATTCCATTGGGGCAAACATTAATTCTGCATGTTTGACTGACCTGTAAATGGCACGAATTGCAAAATGTCGGCTGTCTAGAAGACAGTATCATCTTTTGATGATTCTATATAGGGGTATCCGTATCATCTATAGATATATTCTCCCTAGGGATCCAGTCGTACGTCCTCAGAAGGTACGACTGGACCCTCAAAACCTACATAAGAGTGTCTTCACACATCACCGTACCTGAGGTACGGTACGACTGGATCCCTAGGGTCTAGGACTGTCTTGTTATAATCAGTTTTGGTTCAGCAAACACATGCAGTCTCCAGCCCCACCAGCTCACCGGGCACCAGGCACCAAACCGGGCGGCTTGGGACTGAGGAAGCAACATACCGGACACATCCACCTGTTCCTGCTTGGGATTGGGCGGGTCACCTGGGTCCAAACCCGGGGACCTTGCTTGAGACTGACAATGAACAGATTCCACTCTATCAGGGATACCAACCTTCCATTGTTTTGGTGCTTGAGCTCTTGACCAAAGCCGGGTGACCTTCGGGGCCCAGCGAGGGGCAAGAGATGGGGTCGACCCCCCCTGGGGCGGCTGCCCGGTATGGGTACGCTGGTCTTGTCGTTTCTTCCGACGGAACGCCGGCGGTCGGTCTCCCTATTTGCTCTACACACCCGTCTTGCTTGAAGAGCCCTCTCCCACTGCCAGATCGAGAAGTGAATGTCCACCTATCTCGATGACCTATGTCCACCGTCTGGCCACGTTGATTAGGGAGGAACGCCAAATCCGCAGATCGAGACAGCGAATTGTTTCTTCCAGAACGGTGACATGACACACCAACTCCTCTCTCCTCCCACCTCTAAAAGGTAATGCCAATAAAACGTCAATAGACCAACGAGTGTCTTTTCCAGCAAGCTCAATACCAACCTCATCACATGCCAAACCAATTTCAATGCATTTCAATGCATTTAACCCCCAAGGCCGTGCCAAATCCGATCCATACGGGCCACCATGTGACGCGGCCACCCCATCACGTGCCACCCCATCCGTGATCCCTGGCGCATCCATCGTGTCCGGCGGGGTGGTCAAGTCCTGACCGAGCTGGTCAAAGGCGCCGACTCAACGAAACCCGGCTCCCGACACAGGATGACCAGCGGAAGGGAACAGCTCCGCAAAGAGTCCTCCCAGAAAAAGACCGAGCAATGGGGGGAAGCTGCATAGCAGGGGTTTGGACCCTCAAAACCTTCACCTTTCAGGGTCCTTGATTCTTAAGGACATATAAAAACTATACGGGGGGGGAGGAGGCGATGAGATGAACAATGAATTAGGGACCATTATTGAAGAAATCCAGATTTGAATCGATTCCTTTTGACATCTATTTTCAAGCACCACCAAGAAGTGTTGGTGTTTTTGTTTGCTGTGGCGCACTTCAAAATCCGGATGACATCTGACTACCGACTTCATGTCAGCCGAAAATATAAATGCCAAAGAGAAAAATATCATCCCAGTTGGGATAGACCCAAGCAACAAACATGGAACGAATATATGCAAACATGACCACTGCAACTTTATGTTTTTGCTTTACGGATTGCAACACACCCGTTAGGATGACTCTTCAATTGAGGAAGTGGGATAAAGCTCATCTGGCAGAGGGCGTAGAACTTCGTCCAAAAAAGAAAGTCAGAATCATACTCTGACTGGTGCGACTCGTAAGGAATGAGGAAATGGATCTTACGGTTGCAAGGTTTAGGGCTATGCCCTTATGATTCTCGACCTTGATCCCGCTACCCCTCAACTTCTGGCAGGAATGTCTGCTACCCCTCAACTTCAGGTCGACCCAAGAATCACTCGCCCCCCGAACTTGCGATAGAAGGAGCCGGTCACTCTCTCACGAGGCCGGTCACCGAGCTGAGGTGAGCTAGTTCCGGTGAGCAGCACTTTTGACCCCAAGAATATCCAAAGAGATGAAGTCCATGAACCAACCCTGGCACCAGATTCTTCCTGTCTGGAAGTGCATCCAAGCCGTAAGCCGGGTCTATACAGGGCCAATGGTTGAGTCTGTCCCAGGGTGATAGTCGTCAAGAATGACGATTGGCAGGGAGATGAACATAAAACGGACGTGTTTTACCACGCAAAACATGTCCCTGTCCATGTTCTCGTCTGTTGGAGATGACCGGCGGTACAAGAAAACATATGACGATAAAACTTAAAGTTCTACCCTTGCCCCGATCTTTCTGCTCTCTTACACCATCTTTCTGCTCACCCAAAGGCTGTGGGCTCAGGTGGAATCTCGATTGGAGATCCTCTTGATCACATCTCCACACCAAATGGCCAAATAGATCAGGCCCTAAGAATCATTGGAGGGTCCACATGGCGGAGTCGGACCTTCTCCACCAAAAAGCAGGGGTCCGGATCGGAAGCAAAGGTCTGGCCATTTCTTTTCCCGGGAAGATGAACCACTACCGACTCAAAGCACTCAGAAACGTCACAAGGAATGGCAAATTGAGCAATTCTCACTGGTCACCATCCATAGCTGGGGGTGCCATGGCTTTCTGATTTCCTTCATTATTTGTCATTCACTCTTACATAATTAATTGCTCTCTATGTTTTCAGGCCATAAATAATAGACTGAATGACGAATAACTTATATCTGTGCTGACCATTCTTTTCATGCGCAAAAATAGTCGCTCACTTGCATCTTGTTCATCCAAACAAAACAAACAAGTCATTGTTCAATTCTTTTTCACCTGTATGTCCTGCATGCTATCATTCAAAAGCTCCGTAACATCACCACCACGTGCACGCCCAGGAGAACCCCAAAACCCCTCATGCGGACCGCTCCTGAGGCCGTGTCTGTGTGACTCCAACGCACAGACCATCCGGATGCCCTGACAGCGGGAAGCCGTGTCTGCGAGCCGCGGTGAGTGATGCGGTGAGTGAGCGAACCGTGGACTCATGCCGAAGTGGGTCGAATGTCCACGCAGTTCATCCGAAGTGGTCGTGGGTTCGATCCAAGGTGGCTTCGTTGACTTCAAGATCCAAAGAGGCGGAGACTCCAAGTAGATAGCATGCGGGTCTTCCATGGCGTGTGATGGCTGCCTGGTACCTGGCCGAACGTGCTCTTCTTGGATGCTTGAAGTTCGTCAACCACACCGTCTGCTCTGTTTGTGCTGCCCTCTAGTCTGTTTGTGATGGGTTTGGAGGCTCTGAATATTGTCTGAAAAGGTAGTGGTAGCGCGTTTGGGTATATATGAACGTCTCCTTGATTTGGTCCAACAGGCTGAGATGTTTTATGCTTCAACCAACTTCACATGGTCGGTCACTCCAAACATTTCTCCTTTCAAACACTTCAGCATCATGCTATCTATAGATCATCAATTGCAGCAAGCTCAAAGAAAATAGCACAAACACACACCCTTGAAATATGCATTCTCAACCATTTTATGGTGCCCAAGGTCCAAGAAAATAAGTGCGTCATCTACGCTGTGCGCACAGCGGGTCTATCAGGTCTATTGTGCTCCGAACCAAAGGCGGTCCGAACCAAACGCTTCATGAGAAACCTGTACCAGCACCCGACTCTACAGGTGCTTCCTGGTGGCAACAGGTGCCCAGAAACCACCTGTTAGGGTCTCTAAACAGCCTGTTGGAGGGTCCTGGTATGTATACGAAAGTCTCCTCTCACATTGGATTTGCTTAGGGAACCGGTAGAAAAAGGAACAAAAAAACATACTCTCCAGGGGGCCCATGGGGGCCCCGGTACCCAGGAAACCGGGGATGACGATGATCCATCTCTGATCCCAACAAACGCAAAAACCACCACCCCGGGTCCGTCCGCCGCCTTCGCGGGTCCGCAGCACTTCCAGTTCGAAGTACTTACCTCTCGGGCGGCGGCGGAACGCGGCGAGGGCGATGCTGGGCGATGAGGCGGTGCCCGCAAGAGGAAAGGCGGTAGGAAAGGCCAGCGATGTTTGAAGGCAGAGCCACCACGGAAAAAGAAGGATCCAGAAACTCATCTGAATGTGGGGTAATCGATCTAAAATTAGAGAATTCCAGGGGAGCATGGCACATATGCGATAGGAAGTGCAATCATTCAGTTTGACCATGAACGGACGATGGAGAACCAAAGGCTCACCAGCATCAAGGGCGAATGCATGACGGATACATGACGCACTAGTTGCGTACAGCATGTGTTACAGGCAATGTTTGTTTCAAGACTCATACCTTGATATCCAAGAAATACCGCTTCATATCTCTTAATATACATGAGAAGTGCTTCCCCACTCCTGGTTCCCAGATCGAACCGCTTCGGGTGGGATCGACCGATGCGGCGATGCGGAAAGCCGTTCGGATCAGGCGGAACATCTGACCCCCCTCACTCCACGTCCCTGAAAACCATGAAGGTTCACCATCCAGGAGTCACTCGATAGGGTGCCGAACTTGCAAGATAGGGAGGAGGTCGGCCCCGGTCACATCCACTCACTGCATAAAGGCGAGCCACATCACCCCCACATGTGACTCCTGGATTCACATCGGTGCACCATTTTGCACCTCGTTTGAGCGACTCAACTGCAAAAGTACTAGCACCCTCCAACAGGCGGTTTTTGGACACCCCTCAACCACTCAGAGGCTATTTGTAGAGACCTCTTGGTACTGGTACTGGTATATACTAGCTACAGTGGTCACTTAGACCCTAAAGAGGCCACTGAGAGACGCCAATTAGGTCACTTTGAAGGTCCTGGTACGTACATACTACACTCCCTGGGTCTTCACCATGTTGGTTACGTGGCACCCGAAAACGTTGGACCCGAAGACCGGTCTACCGGTGCACCACCGGCATCGAAGCACGATGATTAAGGTCAAACATGTGGACTATGTAGACTCAGGAGTCTACATGTAGACTGAGTCTACACCCCACCACCATATAAGGTGTTACAATGTTACAACTCCATGTCTGGGAGAAGTTGTACTCAAACTGCTTGGCTTCACCTCGCTGAAAAAGAACTGTGTTGGGCCGTGGAACGACGAAGGAGCAAGACTCTTCGCAGCTCTACATTCCCCTACACCTCGGAACGGCCCACATCCTCAGGTGACCGGTGGGCCAGGTGGGTGCCAGGTCGAACCGGCCGTTCGGAGCCCTAGAGATTCCAAGCAACTCAGCCGTACCTATGATAAAATGTCTATAGTGGATTAAAACATCATGGAAAATACATGGGCTACAGCTATAGTCCTATCCCCAGAAGGTCTTGTGCAGTTGCCCAGGTGTCCAGAGCTTCAAAACCAGATCTTCTCTTGATCATGGAACACCTGCCATGGGCAACTTCCACCCTGCTTCCCGGCAGCGTGGTCCGCCTCCTTCCCGCCCTCCGTTTCGTGGTCCTCGCCTGCAGCCACTGCCGGCAGGGGCCCGTTTCCAAGGAGGCCGCCGTGGAGGGCGTAGTCATCCTCCTGGCGGACCACAGGATCCGACTGAAGGGATCACCTCGATGTGCTCTGGATCGATGTGCTCTGATCACCAAGGATCGATGTGTTCATGGATCACTGGATCAACGAACCAAATTTTAATGGACCATACGATGGACCATACGATGTCCACCAATCAGCTTTTGGCCGAGACCTCTCAGCTCTTTCCACTGTCCACGCTCGAACTGCCCAGCTCTGCCTCCTTGGTGGCCACGTAGCTGGCCTCCAAGGCCTCCTTCTCGATGCGCACAAAGCCTCGCTGCGAACCGCCCACTCCGCCCAGCAGAGGTGGAGTAAGACCCAAGGACGAAGTGAGGGCGGATCAGTCCCCCTCACCCGTTTGGGATCCAGTCGTACCTTGTCAGGTACGGTGAGGACGGAAACAAACGACGGTGCCCAGTCACGTTGAGTCCGTTTTCGTACCGAACCGGGTCGGTCCAGTGACCTTGCGGGACCCTGGCAATCCAAAGAGCCCAGCGGCGAACCGAACAACGAACCATCTCGCCATGCTGGGTTGGTCCGCGGGCTTCGTCCGAAGCATGGACCTGGTTCGCATCCGAAAATCGCCCAACCAGGTCTTTGGAAAACCGAAGAAAACTGGACCTTCAAACCCCAGACACTCCATGTGTACCATATATATGCCTACATCAGTTGGGATGGTTGACTGGGGGTCTTTCTGGGGCGGCAGTCCTATTAGTCCCAGACACGTCCGTGTCTGGGAAACGGTCAAAAACCAGCCACATGCGGACGATCTCCAAATCCAGCGCTCGATCGGTCCAGCGGCCGGTCCCTGAAAAACTCCGCCGCCGGTCGTCCGAGCCGGATCTCTCGGGGGAATGGGACAGATTGACTCGGGAACCTGGAGGGTTCGGTCGCCCCTTATCCGGTCAGGAACTGATCTCATGTTTCATACGGGACGTGGTAACACACCAGGTGTTCCTGGGTCCTTGGACTTGTAGGGATGTCATTACCTTCATTCATTGAGAATCTCTCGATAGTACTCTCGATAACAGCTCTGAGGAGGGCCGCGATCAAGGTGCTTCTTGGAACACAGTCACTTCTGATGTGTGCACATCAGGATTTCGGTACACTCCGACTGACTCACATCAATCACATGTGTTCGTGGAGCTCACCACCTGACCCAGTTGCTCAACCCACGGAGCATCCCAGTCGCCCGCGCCGCGGAGCCATCCCCCATGCATCACCAAGAGACGGCTGTGATAGTTCGCCTCGAATCCGGTCATAGACTCTGCCTGATGTCTCACCACAAAGGGGCCACACATGAAGTGGACAATGGTTTTTGAATGAAAGGTGAAAGGGATTGAATGGGGAGTGACAGAAACATGTGTCTTCTTTCAACAGGCCACCAAGTTTGGCAGACAAAAGTGGGTTGAGAGTACATGGCACATATATGTCCAATTTTGGTGGTATTGATCTGGAGAAAACACTGAACAGGGTGTCAAACGGTGCCGGTGCCATCGAACATCTGAAACCACTCTATCCCGCAACGCCAGAGACCTCCTGACTGAAAACCCTCTGCCCTCAAAAGTGATGTCAATCTTTCTGGGGTCGACAGGAGGTGATGGTTTTCCCATCTGTCCCTACCCTGACAGACCAGGAATCACGAGGAACCACAGCAACGGCCCTAAAGTAGATATGTGTGTGCGCGTGTGGAAGTATACATGGTCTCAACCTCACAAATTGAAGGCAATGTTGTGGGAACAGTCTTTCATATATATGTGGAAAAAAGAGTCTGCAGTGAGAATGCAGTAAGTTACTAAGATCACTGAGTTACCAAGCGCTAAAGCGAAAAGACTGTAAATCAAGTGCAGTTGCTCTACAAACTGGACCTTGGGGCCAATTACACAAACTCAAACTTGATGTACTTGCAAGGTCCAAGCCCCTTGACTTAAACCGAAGGTCGGGAGGCGACCAATGCTACACATGTGACACCATCGGGCAAGGCCAGAAGGCAAGACCCGAAACAACCTACACGAGCCTACCCAGAAGAGAGCAAGCAGTGTGTTCATGTGCTCTGGCCATGCGAGTGAGCTGCTAGGGGAGAAAGGCATGGGCTAGAATCGGCTAGAAGCACATCGAATGCATACAGCCAAGGCGGCGTCAGCTCTGTGGTCATAGGATAAACAAAACAATATTACCAGGACCTTCCTTCGTATCTTAAATTCTCGACCCTACCTGGTATGTATGAATTGAAGAATATGACTCATGGGCCGGGACTGCCCACGTTCTGCCCTTTTCCTTTTGGTTTTGGTCCCTTTTCACGCATAAAAAGGCAGCCCCCAACAATACTTTAGACTGTGGTAACTCGCGGTGTAGGAGAACCTAGTGAATAATCACTTAATTTATATAAATTAACTCAAAGAACACCGATGCATTAGCACTGTACCACATTAGCCCTTTAGTGCAATTCACCGGATTGGAACAGTTTATTGATCCTTACTTAGAGCTCAGCTCGCAATGAAACGGCTAAGGTCAACCGCGCGGTGGGATCATAGGAGTCAAAGATGGGAACATGCGCCGGGTACTGACGATGGAACATGCGCCTACGCTCGCTTTCAGGGAATGGAATTGCTCTCCGAAAAGAAGAGCCCAAACCCTCAATAATGTGCTTGGAAAATTCAAGATTGAACTTCAAATCGCATAAAAAAGGAGCTAGATCGCGACTGGCTTGGCATCTCTATCTTCCGTTGAAGGTGACAGACCAACCACATGTAAGGCCAACCTTGTCATGCAGAGTCTGTTGCAGGTGGTGCTGGCGTCGCCCTTAGCTTCGCCAATGTGTCTTAGAGATTGCGTGACCGTTGATGTGTCCACTGCAGCGACATGTACTTGGCCCCATCTCTGTGACGACATGTTTTACATGTGGATTGCTGGCTAAAGCGGCTAAAGAATTCACCAGAAGCGGATTCAGCTGCTTTGGCAGGTGCCGGTGGAGGCGGTGGTGCTGCTGCAGGCAAGCCATGTTTTGCAATGTCACGAAAGCCAGATAGATAGGCTATAGGCTGGAATTGGGTTGCGCGAACCCTGGCTGCCGGCATCTGATTCAGTAGCTCTTCCATCTCCTGGCAGGCCTACGCCTACGCATGTCACTCTACTTTGAAGCAACAGACCGGGATTGACGCAGGGTAGAAGACACATCAAACATAAACTCATATACGAGCGACGTGCAAAACCTCTGTCCAGCTCGTCGATATCGAGAGTGAAGCGAAGGGATGGGAAAAGTGAGGACTGGGAGCCGAGTTGTCGACTACTTTTGGGATGGAACGACAGAAACGCCTAGTTCTGGAGATATCGGCCGGAAAAAACACATACACATGGCATCGACCAAATATTTTTGGTAGAGAATGAATCGCTAGGAATACAAATTATGCGCTTGGCGCTTGCTGTCCTTCTGGCGCGTGCCCAGGAGCGCACTTTGCAGCGTCTCCCGAGCTCCGGAGCGCGCTTGCCCTCAGTGATAACACATTGGAGCTTCTGTTGAGGGTGTTTAAGGAAGCGGCTTTGCCATGCCCAAGAGACATGGCAACCGCCTGGGTGCACAGTGACGACATGCCTTTCTTGAGCACGCAGTTGCATTGACACGACCGATGCGGCTGGAATATTCACCGCTCTATTGACCCCGGAATTCAACCACAGCGGCTGTAACCACGTGTTTGGGAATGCCAATCGCGACAAAGGGATTTCAGTGTTGTGCAACCTAAATCTTTCTCATGAAACATAGACTGACAGCGTCGGAAGGTTCCGATTCCAACGAGTCACACAGTGCAATGCGCAACAGGGATATTCATCCATAGAACATGAAAACCATGCCATCGTCTTTCCCCAACATTCTTAGCTGGGAATTTCAGATTTGGATCATCTGGCATACCTGGTCCAGAGGTGTCCAGAGATATGACGCCCAAGAATCATGTCAAACATCTGGCTCCTCATCAGGCACGCAAATGCGCAATCCAGCTGATCAACTGTCACATCAGGCATTGTGTCTGGCATCTGCCTCGCCCACTGCGTATGTACTGCTTGGCAATGCACCAATAATTTCATCGATATCGGAAATTTGAGTCCGGGAAAATCGCAGAAATCCGATCATTCTCCCCCAGCAATGCAAGATGTGGATTGTCATTGATGAGCTTCTTGATGTCATCGGACACAGTCGAACTCTTCCAAAGTAACGAGGGGTGTGTATAGTACTTAATATTCATGTTCTTGATGACATGCATGGCTAACTTGCCAGAGTTGACCAAGCTTCGACCTTTTCTTCAGTCCATCTTGTGAAAGATAGAGGAGAAGGGCATGTGCTCGAAGAATGTCATGTTCACTTTTTGACATTCCCAGACACTCGAGTTTTTGAACCGCACGATCAATCGCCGCACAAGAACTAGAGTTCTCTTTGGAATACCCCTATCTTCTGGCATGTCTTTTGACATTCTTTCTGACATTCTTTCTGGCGTTCTGTCTGGCATATCTTCTGACTCGCCGTTCAGGTCCGGCGGGGACACTGGCGGTTGAGGTCCGGCGGGGAACACTGCCGTCCGACACTCGCGGTTGAGGAGGCGAGGCGGGAGGCGGAGGCGGAGGCACGCGAGGCAGCTGACATAAAAATCTAACAGCCCTCACCTGACAGGTCGGAAGAAAAAGGAAGACTATGAAAGCAGGCGAACCTCGTGACTTCTACTTGGGATATTTGGGACGGGGCTTCTTCTGAACATTCGTCGAGTTGACAAAAAGAAGTCAAAAGTTGAAAATCGCTTGGATCCGATTAGCTTCGCAGCAACTGAGGGACAGTTAGGTGAGAAGATCCGATGGCTGAAGAGGAGGCAACAACTTGGCAACAACATCACGTGTTGGACTCTTCATCGTTGTCAACTTGATGTTTGACATTTCCCGATACTCAATCCAGTCGGGCATTTCTGTAGGTGGGTTGTCAATAGCAGCGAATATTACCCTCATGATAGCTGGTGCGGCTTCATGTGCCGTTTCCTTCCCTCTCTCGGATGTTGGGAACGCCCTGTACTCAATGTGCAAGAACTTGCAGAGCAAGAAGATTGGGGAAGCATGGAGAAGAAGAGGGTACCTTTGCAGCAAGGATGGAGTTCGTCACATAGGTGGCAATGCGCGCAATCGCACAACGCTTTAGATACCACATGGTGCTGCTCGGTCTAGTCTTCGAAACATGTAGGTTCCTTTTGCAATCGGACGATGTACTGATGACAGCAAGATTAAAATCACAGATGTGTCTGTTCTTCCACGCATATCAGACACACTCTCGTCACTTTTCGAATGGGCTGGACAGGCTCTCTCACGTTCAACACAAGCCCTGAACAAAATCAGATCCATAGCAGGTGCATTCCTGAAGCGACGTGATGGAGCAGGTCTTGCAGAAGGTTTTCACTCAGGTGGTGGACAGATGTTCAACATCGTTGCTGACTCGCTGACGTTGGTTGTCCAATAGTGGGAGAGAAGATGGCAACAATTCTCTCTGGTCTCGTTGGAAGTTGCTACTACCGAGGATTTTGCGGACAAGCGGTCTATCTCGCCCAATTGATTTTGGTGGTGGAGGTCTTGCTGTTGTGGAATCCTTCACCTAGGTGCCAGAAAGAATATGTCAGAATTTATGCCAGAAAGAATGTCAGCAGATATGCTAGATAGAATGTCGGAAGATATGATATGCCAGAAAGCATGTCAGAAAAGATGCCAGAAGGAATTTCAGAAGTTCTGCCAGAACAAATTTCAGAAAGAATGTTAGAACATGATATGCCAGGAAGAATGCCGAAAAAATGTCTTAGTACATGCCAGAAAATGTGTCAGATTGAAATGTCATGGTGAGGATCACTCGAAGTAAAGTAATTTTGGAAACACTTCTATTTCCATCCCTTGGTCCAAAGAAAGAAAACGCTTTGCCCACCGATCTGCTCTTTCCAAGGCACCATCTTCGCTCTCCCTGCTCCAGAGTCACCCCTAGCTTCACCTCCAGCGATGACACACAGGCGTCCGGAACCGCACATGTCGGAAATCCCGTGCCGAACGGGGAATCCATGTCCACCATGTCCTGATGGGTACGGACAGAGGTTTTTGTCAGGACCCGTAGCCGCTAAGCCTATCCCAGTTCGGTACCCCAGGTGACGGTCCTATTTACGGTCACTGTCCACCTCTCTTGGTGTTCCAGTGACCCACCCATCAACAGGACCTTCGCCCACAGACCTGTTCGTGACCTCGATCTCGGTCACTGCTCTCCGAATAGAGAAGATCTCATTCCTGTTCCATCTGTCTAGCCGCATATTACGGCATCATCGGTGACACACTGGTCGGTACGATGAGAGTTTGTACAAAAGAGAATGCACCCCAAAACGAATTAGACACGACAAAGATCTCATTCCTGTTCATTCCTGGTCTTACAGACCTGAGTGAACTTCCAGGTCACTGGGAAGGTCCTGGAGATATTCATGTCAGTCTCAGAATAGAGACCACCGTCAGACTGGACCAATGTGCACCACTCTCGGAGCTCACCACCGTGCACCGGCAGTGCATTCACTTCTAAGAAACATGAAGCGATTCACACCTGTTTTTTTGCACAGTGAATCACACCTGGTATGCCCCACTCCGCTTCTGGATTGAGACACTGACTTGGACTTTCATGTGGATTGAAACCGAGCCCACCAAGTGACCTCAACCAAAGCCCCTCTCTTGTTCAATGCTCAGATGTGTTTGGAACAGCCATCGTTCCGTTCAAAACAACGGAACCCAAACCCAAACCCAGACACTCCATGGGACTGCCATATATGCCGCCCCATTGACCCCCAGTCAACCACCCCTGGCCGTTTCTCGGCAGTCCGAACTGGCAGTCCCAGACACGTCGTGTCTGGGAAATGAAAAGAGGTCCCCCAATCTTCAGGGATCCCAAGTAACTAGTTAGACTCGATCGTCTAAGGCGTTTGGCCGAGGTAGACCCTCTGACGAGTTAGACTCGCATGGAAGTGAAATGGAGCGAAGGAGATGACCATTTCTCCATGGCGAAGGTTGGGTGGTTTCCACTTGCATCTCGAGTCAGGAGTGTATGAACTGTTGAGGCTACTCCTTCACTCCACGCGGAGTCGGGCTCTGTAAATCTTAGACACTCATGACCTGAAAATATCAGGCGCACTGCTCATCTTGAGCCAGGTTTTGTTTGCATGGTGCATCACTGGAATCAAAAGCTACCCTATGGTCGCGATTCCAAAATACAAACACCAAAGCTATCAAATTACACTTGTTGGCCCCAGTGACGGTGCACGTTGCTTTAGCTCTCTGCGAGGGGGGATGATCCAGAAACGCCATAAACCACCGTCGCATATTGTTGAAAGGAACATCCACAGGAAACCCTGGCCTTCACCCACCAGCCAGATTTAGATGGGTTTCCTGTAGAGGTTCCCTGGCCACCAACCAACTGGGAAGTAGTGCGACGAACACCGATTTTCTGCTGTGGATCATGGCACCCCGAGGTAGGTTGACCTCGAGCCCCAGTATTTAGTCTAATCGGTTCATTGGTTCATGGACTTGGTCGGTTTTGACTCACACAGCCATGACCCTGACACGACGTGTCGACTGCCAGTTCGGACTGCCCAACCACCGTTTCGCGGCGGTGCCACTCGGCAGTCCGGACTGGCAGTCCCAGACACGTCGTGTCTGGGTTATGTGTTGCGGTGGAGATTTCAAACTCGGGGTGGAGCTTCTTTCGTGTGGAGTCCAGAAACCTCCACGACCACAGACGCTCAGCTCCACTGACTGGAGAACTCTGTCTCAGCAGCAGCACACTGCTGGTTCTCAAACACCGTTCTTTTTCTGGGCTGTAAATGCTATTCTCTAGGGATCCAAGTACCTCCTCAAAAGGTACTTGGACCCTCCAAACCCACCCCAAACACCTTTTCAGAAGGTACTTGGATCCATAGGGATTCGGAAAATGGTGAAATTGAACAAATTGACCCAACAACCGGAGCACAGGTTCCTCAAGTCGACGGAAGGTGACACACAGCCGTCCTGCCGTCCTACTTGACACCCTTCTTGGCCCATAGGCCATACACACAGCCTGAAGGCCTGGGATTTGCTTAAGGAACCGAAATGAGGTCAAATAAATAACATGATATTCCCCAAGAAAAAGGGAACCTATAGGAAAAAAACAACATCACCTATCAGCACAAGGCTTTATTCGCATTTCTTTCCTCAAGCATTGGGAGGCTGGTACCTGTGTTTGACTCAGAGTCGCATGCTTCCACCAGCGGCGACCAGCATGGCTTTCAGGAGGACGTTGTCGACTCTTTCGCTCCAAAGTTCCAGCGACCCCGAGACGCCTTCAGCTCCTGAGACGTCTTCCCAGTTGGGCACGGCCGCGCTCGCTGGGACAGCAGCGGTCACCGTGTCACCGGAAGTTCCACGCGTTCCCACGTCGAGCCCACCCGCGACGCGCCACACGCCGCGAGCGCGTCACACACGGTCGCGCGCCTGCGGGTGGCGCGTTCTTCTTCACCTGTCACGGCGGAGACCCGCCGTCTATGTGAGGCCGTCGAAGCTTTTCTCGGTGAAAACGGATTGAAGTTCATGGAAGAAGGAACACCATGGGGTCCACCCTGTAAGTGAAGAAGGAAATGGGACCATGGAGCGCCGATCCGGGCTTAAACTTATATAGAAACATGGATCCGAGCGGATCCGAGTTACTATACCCTAGGGATCCAGTCGTACCTTGTCAGAAGGTGATTGGAAACTGGTTATGTAGGTTTGGAGGGTCCAGTCGTACCTTCTGAGGACGTACTTGGATCCCTAGGGATATAGGAGGAATCAGGGTTTCTAGGTCTAAGGTTTAAGTCTTTGGAACCACTGGTTACCTTAGACTTTCGAGCTCCAAAATTCCAGACTTAAACCAGGTAAACCACTGGATTCCAGGTCTAAGGTTTAAGTCTGGTTTGCCTGGATCCACTGGTAACCCTGGTACCGGAGACTCTGGAGACTTCCGAGCTCCACAAAAAGCGTCGAGTCCTCGGCCAAACGTCGAGGACTACGTCCCCGGGAAAACCATGGACTCTTTGAGGGTTTAAACATGTCTAAACCCTAGGTGTTCCATGGTGCTCAAACAAGTGTTTCATGCTGTTCCATATCTTTACAGTGTTTAAACCTATAGGTCTTCCGTGGTGTTCCTGAACAGTCTCAACCCCACGAAAAGCCGCGCGATCGACGGGGACCCCCTTGGTCGACCGACGACCCCCTGATCTGATCGACTTGATCGAGCGAGCTCCTTCGATGGTGTTTCCTGGACCCATCGAAACCATCCAAGATCTGTACACAGGCCTCTGGTCGGTGCGGTCGAAAAGTGTTCAAAGTTCTGAACGTGGGGTGCCGGTTCCAGAGTTCACCCCTTCTTTGGGGGTTTTGCAGGTCCACACAAAGGGGGCCAGAAAAAACCCACCCCTCACAACCTCCTAACTCCTCAGACCGTACCACGTTGGTGTCTGTATGAGAGAAATCCTGCAGGTCCTGAAATCTGCCCCAAGCCGTATTTTTTTTCATGAAAACCACCGAGCGAGCGATTGCCATTCGGACTTCATCATAGGTCCTTTTGGGGCCATGCCATCCACGTAAATACCCATGAAGAAGACCCAGGGAGGATAGGTGGAACCTGAACAAAAATGCAGAAAGTTAATACCTGGACCCTCCAAGGGGTATCCAATGGACTACCCCACACTACCGCACTAGGCTTCCATTAGACACCCCGACAGGAGGGTCCTGGTAGAAAGTTTGATTTCTGTGGATTTCTTCGATGCTTCATCTCCTGGTCTTCCCTTTTCCGTTTGGACCGACCCAAAAACGAACCACACGCGGAGCTGGCGCTGCGCGCGCCGTTGGCGCCTTGGGAGGGTCGACTGCCTCCACCTGAGAGAGAACGTGCCAACGACTCACTCACCAGTGGCGCCGACGACACGGCGCGCCCCCCATTCGTTGGCGCACGGTAACAATGATCAATGCAGCTGAACGCTGCTGGAACCAGCAGCTGACTAGTGGTGGAAGAGGAAAGAGGACCAAACATCATTCAGAATGTAGAATCAGAATGTCATGTAGACTCTTGATTAATAAACCCGCCCAATTGAATTGAAAAACCATGTTACATCGTGGGGGTTCATCATCTAAGAGCCTACATTCGTACATTGATTCGTAGAAGCCTCATCTTCCTGTCTAGAGTCCTGAGTCTCAATTCATAATTCTGAAAAACCACTTCTGACAGCCCCTTCTTCAGCCACTTCTTGATTGGCAGGACAAGTTTGGACATGTTTGGACCACGGCAGAGCCTTGTCGGTGTCGACGGGACGGCGGAGCCATAAACCAAGGTGAAGGACTCGAAAAACTACGGCTAAGAGAGAGAGAGAGAGAGAGAGTGTGTGTGTGTGTGTTTTTCGTTTATTAGCTTTCTTTTACTGTAACCTCTTCCTTCCCTCCTCAACAGGCTTTTTGAGACACAACAAACTCAACTGCGCTCTGGCGGGTTCAATGCCCGACCAACGGAAGTTCGCCTTTGGAGAGGTGAAGAGGATTGAGGAGGTGAAGTTCGCCGCTTTTGGCTCTATAACATGCTCTAAACATCTCTATACCCCTGGAGTAGCCCATGGCCATCTGCAGGTCCTTTGGCCACCCTTTCCGCTTCTCCCAGGCTCCCGTCGACCATCCACACTGCGCCGGGTCGGCTGAAAGTGGCCGAAACCGGGTGAGACCCGCACCACGGCGGCGTCGAGGTTCTTGGCTTTCTTGGCCGCCTGCGCATTTGACGGCGGAAGGCCGGGATCGCCGGACCAAAGGGCTTTTTAGACCGGTCGGAAACTAGAAACTCCCACCTCGAAGATCCCCTTTTTGCCAGACACGACGCGTCTGGGACTGCCAGTTCGGACTGCCGCCCCAGACAGACCCCTTTTCAACCACCCAAGCGATCAGCATATATGGCAGTGCCCCCCCAAATTGAGGTCCGGTGTGACCTTCTGGTACTTGAGATATGGTCTGACCATCTTTTTCCAGAAGGTCACAGTGATCTTGTTCGTTCTGAAGTCGATCTCGTGCGCCCGACATCAGAGGGTCACCCACGTTTCTCTCGTCATCGTCTCCCTCCACGTTTCTCTCGTCATCGCTCGAGGTCGATCCCACTAGGGACCGGGTGACCGACTGTTTCTTCCCACCGAACATGAATCCGAATGGGCGCCTCCAGACATGGTCAACGCTACGAACCGGGGCGAACGTGGCCTTACTACTAGGAGCGATCGGACGCTACCTACCAGGGTGAGTGCCCTGGGGCTCCAGGCTTCCTCTCAATCAATCAGCACGGAGAAGTGAACCCTGAAAGCGATGGCAGTTAAACTACAACCCCCTACAGGTCAGTTTGACCTCATGAAATACTGGAAGTGGTCATACAAAAACACTGCTAGCAGGATATAAAAGACCAGGTTTTACTGGGTCAGACTGGCCATACGTAGGGAAACCATATAACTTCCTCATTTCTTCAGCTCGGCTCAGGAGCCGCCCAGCCCCGGTCTCACATGCCGGTCGTCCCATGTCCGTCGCCCGTTTCTTCGGAGCGCCGTGGATTGATGAGCATTTGCGTCAGCTGCGAAAGACCGCTGGCACTGAGAGAGACTTGCAGAGTGTGATGGTTTTTTTTCATGTTTTCTACCACCGGGTCGTGCATTTTCCCCATAGGTGACACATGGGACGGCCATTTTTGTTGCCGCCCCAGACAGACCCCCAGTCGACCACCCTCATGTTTTTGGAGTTGAACCGTGCATTTGATGTTGAACCATGCACGTTAGACGTTCAACGTTCGACCTCTTGTGGGGGTTTGACCGCCTGTGGAGTCCACCGTGCGCACGGTTTTCCCGAGTTTCAGCACGAGGAAAATCCCTCTTCACCGCAAGACCTTTTGAAAATTTTGGCTTTGCTGCAAATGCATTTCAGTAGCAACTTGTGCGTGGAATGGAAGAAAGGGGCAACATTGGGCAACCCAACCCAGAAGCTCCAAGAAGGGAAAAAAACACTCATGACTCATGGCCCATGCCTATAGATGAAAAAAGGAAGAACATGGTTGTCCCTCAAATCGAGCAGCTCAGTTCTGTCCTTCTTTCAAACTGATTTCGATCCTCAACGTCTCTCCCAGCACGAACGCCCCCACCCCGTTCCGCGGCCGCCGGCGCTGCTCCCAGCACTGCTTCGGCCACACACTGCGAAGACGTGGCAAACAGATGTGACATCCCACGACATCGATGGTCAAGGTGTGAAAACGAGTGGAACATCGGGCCCCCAGTCCATGGATTCAGGCCAAGTCGCTTGTGGGACGTTCCTGCTTACCTGCTGTTTAAATTTAAAGGCATTAAGATGCACTAAGTGTTAAAGTACTTCCAATCAAACCGTGGAAAACACACCAAAACACACTTCTGTTCACACCAACTCACCATGATTTTTTGCCACCACCTCACCAACGTGTTCCTCGTCGCAACTGTGGTCATCCCCATGGCGCCGTCACATCAGATCGAGTCCAGGTCCCAGTCAAACAGACTCATGTGGCTCGTAGGGGAATGAGGGAATGAACTCACCACCTCTGGCCCTGTAGATATCTCAGGATCCAGCCACCCTTATTTCTCACGAGTCGCACCAGTACCTCTTTGGTCTTTGACACATTTTAGCCGCTGACATCGATCTCCGATCATTCTCCCGGTGCCACCCGAACTTCCCGAACGGTGTCGAAGTGGGGGGGGGGTGCATCCCCAATCCCCCGAACACCGAAAAGAGAAAGAACAAAAAGAAATAGAATTTAACAATTTAAAACAACATATTTGATTTCTGAAGAAAGACAAGAACAGAACCAAGTATACGCTCCTTTCTTCGTTCCTTTTGGTTTCGTCCTTTTGGTGATCCACTTCTTCGCTGTGGCTACGCTGTGCGGTCCAGCCACCGGGCCGCGAGAGGAGAACACACTGAGCTGCCGTCCGGCCCGGCTCAGCGTCCTGCTCCCTGGCGAGGCGAGGCCCAGCGGCAGCTGAGGGCCGGGCAAGGACTGAAGGACCGGATGAGGTGCTGCCTGAAAACCAGGACCTTCCAAGAGGTATCTCTAAGTAGTCCCTTATAGAGGTCCTGAAAACCAGGACCTTCCAAGAGGTATCTCTAAGTAGTCCCTTATAGAGGTCCTGAAAACCAGGACCTTCTAAGAGGTGTCTATCAATAGGTTAAGGATTTTTGTGGGAATGAAGGCAAATTCATACCCCCAGATTCTGTGAAAACCAACCTTTCAAGGAGCTTCGCTACAAAATCAGAACTGGACATCTGGCAGCCCAGCATTGCGGTACTGAATTTAGAGCGTTTATTTCCTCCAGGATGGTTAAGGGGTCTCCATTAACTCACTTGTTGGAAGGAAACAGAAGCTGCTGTTTGGACCTCGAAGGTGAGGCCGGCGAGAAGTGGTCCTCGCGTTCTTCGACTCCCAAGAGATGTCACCGGTGGCTGCGATCTGTTTCTGGCTGCGATTGGGTTTACAGTGTAGAAATGGAGGTGCTGCCTGAGATGAACAGGATCGCTTGTGCTCTTCCACTCAGGTTTAGCAGAATCCACCGGGGCGGTGCGACACCCCGCATGACCTCGACTCCAAGGGACTATGGACACCCCAAAATTCCGTGGTGCTGGCAGCCATGTCTGTGTTCTTGCACCGCTCTCGCTGTAGCATGCTGTAGCTATCTGCTTCTTCACTTGCTTCGCCAAACGCCACACGCCCTTCAGGGAATTGAGAATCATTATAGGCAGTATACCAGGACCCTCCTGTCGGGGTGTCTAATGGAAGCCTAGTGCGGTAGTGTGGGGTAGTCCAGCTAGGACACCCCGAAAACGGAGGGTCCAGGTAGCACTCCTTTGCTAAGCCAATTTGGATCTCTGCTCGGACGAACCTCTCCGGTCATCACCACCGGCCCGGCCGCGTGACCTCCGTCCACCGCGCCTGAAGCTGGGTGTTCCAAACACCGCACCTCGGAACGACACGAAGAAACCGCCCAACGCGCATGGCGCATGGCCAGGAGCTCCCTTCGTAGCGTTCGATCGTTCCGTTCGTAGTACTAAGGCTACTAAGGGGCAGGAGCCCCGTTCGTTTTCGTCCGATCGCTCCGTTCGTCGCGATGCCCTTTGCTCCTAGGAGAGTAAAGCATACACAATACACATGGTGAGAAATGGACGCCTCATGACGTTATCGACACGGGACACGAAACGCGAGGAGGTCGTCACTTCAACGAAAAGATGGGGACCCCATTTCAGGGCCTCAAGTTCAAGCATTTGGTATACTGACATGTTCAAGGGGGGAATGAAAAGAAAACATGGTCCCAGCAGTCACATGTTGGGGCGCTGGTTCCGAGTTCGGAGGAAGGAGCCCAGAACATCTACCGCCCCTGGATGGGACGAGCCACACCACCCCGACATGTGACTCCTGGATTGTTAACATGGGTTACCCATGTTCCACTGATGTGTTAACCTAAGAAGCTTTTTGGATCTGTTTGGGGTGGGGAAAAGAGGATCCACAGACCTTCTGAGGTCTGACTGGAGCCCCTTCACGGGTGTCCTTGCCACATCTTCGCCCTCCACCCACTTGCTGGTTTCTCGCCTCGCACAGCTGACCGACCAAAGCCAGCCGGAGCTCACCCCGAGCCGCACCCGGTGTCACGGTACCGTGGAAAAAAGAGCACCTTGAATGGTGCGACGTCTCACGTGCCATGACTCCAGAGCCGGAGATCCCCGACAAAAATACGTGAACCAAATGGTCCATCTTATATGATCGATGTGGAGAAAGCGCCCCGTCCAAAAAAGAAGGTCTTTGAAGGATGTTCTCCACTGACTTCCAGGCTGAACCCGACCCCCCATGCCACAAGACCCAAAACCGCGGCGCAAGAAACTGCCTGCTGCCGTAGGACGGAAGCCTTTACTCATAGACGGTGGGCTTCAGGGCGGCCACGTACGGGAGGTTCCGATACCTTCACCGCGTTCGTCGGTTTGGCGAGAGACACGTGGGCGGGGTGGGCAGGGTGGAGAGTGGAGTGCTGTCGAGCGGGTGTTGGAGCGGGGTAGAGCGCACCGGAGTTCGGTGGGGAAAAAGACCGCGGTGGGACATGTGATGAAATGTTTGTGCGGTGACATACAGTACCAGCTGCTTCCGTTCGGAGTTAGCCTGGTCAGACTGGATGTAAAAGACTGGTGTTCATTGGATGATGTAAAAGACCAGGTGCTCACCCCTTCCACCACCAGCGATTCGTCCCAGACGCCCGGACGCGGTTCCGCGTCATGTCGAAGTGTGTGGACACGGCGAGAAGCTGGAATGACATCATGTACCTAGCGCTTCCTGTCTGGGTGTCCTGTCTGGTGACCTATAAGCAGTGCAGGGTTTGTCCATCGGCAACCCCGAACGGAAGCAGCTGGTAGACTGTTGATTGATTAAAAACAGACACAGGAAAGAGGTCTTACAATTCAATTGGGCGGGGGCTTGTTAATCAAGAGCCTACATTATTTTGTATACCCTCTGACGAACACGTCACGTGGAAGTGGCAAAAAAGCACCTGCAGAATGAGGAGAATAGTCATCCGACGAGCCATGCCATCCACGAGTCGGAGGGTAAGTCTGAGTACGCTGCGAATATCGGGGGACCCCGACATATTGAGCATACTATTGAGCATCATTCCTGGACTCCTGGACTTAACCCAGCAACCCGGGGATCTCCAATCGCCTGGGAAGAAGAGTCTGATTG